ATCTTTAGCTTTTTAACTTCTTCTGTTTTTTAATGTGTTCACCAGAAATGTTTACTAGATGTGTGGATCACATATTTATATTTGACCGTGCTGGTATAGACAGACAACTGAAAGTATTTCTTACTTTGAAAGATGGTTTCAAACTTGTGTTTCTTAAGATTCTAATATAAACATAAACACCAGAAACCATGTATTCAATAGCTCAACACTAGGACTGCTTTGATTCTCCGCCTGTAAGAATGAAAAGGCAATATATCGATGTCACTTTTGAAAAATTTCAAGAGCAATGCTAAATGTAAACACGACTTTACAAGGAATAACTTTAATAAAAACCACTTCCAGAGTTCATATTTTATAGCATAAATTGGCAATTTTTAGAATAGAATATTTTGCCACAGGTACATAAATATAAAGCATTTTTTAAATCTGTATGCCAAAAATTGTAAATTATGAAGACCATTAATAGTGAACTTATGGTAGAGACAGTATGGTTTGCATTTCTTTTTAGTGAATAAAATCTAAGTCATATTTTCTTCATGTGTAGCAATTCTCCAAACAGGACAAGAATCTTCAGGGAGGAAATAAGGACTATCAGGGTACGGTGGCTCCATCACATCTTAAAGCCAGTGATGGCCAGTATGTCTAGTCGAGCCCCTAGAACTGAACCTCACATTCCAGCAGGGTCGGAAACCCCAAGAATCCTTGTAACGGAATGGCCACCCTGGTGGCCATCACAGAGTCAAACTTTAATAACTACAGTCATAGTCACCCCTCAGTGTCCAGGCAGGACCAGCCCCAGAACCCCCCATAGATACCAACATCTGGATGCTCAGCCCTTCCTATAAAAATGGCATAGTATTTGCACATAACCTAAGTACATCCTCCTGACACTTTAAATCTAGATTACTTATAATACCTATCACATTGCAAGCACTACTTAGTAGCACTCCTTAGTAGTAGTTAAACTGTACTGCCAAGGAGTGAGGACAAGAAAACAAGGCTGTGTGTGTTCAGTACATACACAGTTTTTCTTTTCTGAGTATTTTTGCGCCATGGTTGGTTGAATTCACAGAGTAGAAGCCATGGATATGGCAGACCAGCTCTCTGTAAACAAATGAATGCATACACATACACAGGCCAAGGTGGCACCGAAATGATTTTACAAAGTCATTCCACAGAAGCTGGCCCACCAGAATTGACAATTAACCTCATCTCACCTCTCAGCCAGCTATAAATTAATCACTTGAACAAGGCATTTGCTAATTATTCAAATCATGATCTCTCTCTCCCCCTCTCTCCCTCTCTCTTAAGAGAAACCTGGTCTATTTTATGGACAGAATAACAATCATAGAAAGCAAGGCAGATGAGAATTTCTTAAATACTTACTGCATGTTAGAATTTGGACCAAATGGTCCACACAACTTCTCTGTGAAGGAGATGATATTATTCACATTTTACAGTTGGGAACACTGAGGCCAGAGTTTAAGTAACTGAGCCCACAGAGTTCACAAATGGGGGAGCCCCAGTTTGCACCTATGACTGCCTTATTCACCCCATCATGATGGGGTACTTGTTGCTTTCTCTGTAAAAATTCTGGAGCAGAATAGTCACTTAGGTGCAAAGAAAAAAAAAATGCTTTACTCTTGGAATCAATGCTGGAGGCATCAGAGACCTCCAGAAGCAGTGGGCTCCTGTCACCAGTGCAGGAGAGTCACAGCCCACTGAGCAGCTTGCAGAGGTAAGGTGGGTAGGAAACCAGTGGCAAGTGGCCCCACTTACCCTGCAGCTGATGTGAACAGAGGTGAATAACTGATTCCCATCAGTTTGCCAGCTTCTACTTCATAAGTCCTCAGTCTTTTTCCAGAGTTGAAGAAAAGCTGGTAAGACATCACCGAACACAGAGTAGCAAGTGGCTGATTCGCACCTTGCCACAGGGGAGGAACACAGGTTGAGATAATGGATTTAAAAATGTAAAATCGATGTCAGTCTTTCTCATATTCTTAAGTTCTACGATTTCTCTAAAATATCAAAACCCAAAAGTTAGGCTATGCCTCCATGTTCCCTAGTATATACCCCCTATTAAATGTCATGAGAACCAGTATTCATACTGTCAAGACTACAAGACAACCTGTCCTCAATACAACTGATGATGGTGGCTGGAAATGAATAGAGAAGACACAGTTTTCACATTCACACAGTGATAGCTGGTTATGTTGGTCACACATCCTATAGTTGCTTACCATCTTACACATGTATCTGTAAATCTTATTCTTGTCTTTTGTTAAAAAAAAAAAGGATTTGATCTGAATAACTGGTTGTCTTGGAGCAACTGTGGTTAGCTAAACTCGACTCTGTGCAAACCTGACTCTAAATTTTCTATCAGTTCATCAAACAATGTTTTGGAAAAGTCCTCCGGGGTAGAAATAAAGAAGTTACTTGTTTTCCCCTGTCTGCATGTAGCTATCTTTCTGCCATTTTCATGCACAGATTGATCATCCCTAATCCCAAAATCCCCAAATTTTTGAGCCTCAGCATGACAGTGCAAGTGGAAAATTACACACCTGACCACATGTGAGGGTAACAGTTAAAAATGCAGGCACGTTAAAAATATTATGTAGAATCACCTTCAGCCTATGTGTATATGGTATATATATATATATATTACATAAATGAATTTCATATTTGGATCCTAGGATATTTCATACACACACACACAAACACACACACACACACACACACACACACACTCCAAAATTTGAAACACTTCTGGTCATAGGCATCTCATATAAGAAAAAAAAACAACTGTATTTTATTGACCCTCCAACATTTGGGGTAAGGGCATCCAATCACAATTTCAAATATTTCTTTCAAATTTTTTTTCTTCTAAGAAAGACATGATGTTTTATCCAAAAATATGATTATTTGACTTGGAGATAATATATTCCAAAATAATTGGCGTGTGACATAGTAAATTGAAATTCATGATTTTGTGTTTCAGCTTATTCATCTTAATTTGATATTTTTACCATACTTTTCTAAAGCTGGAGATTATCAAATACAATTTTCTACCTTTAATTAGTTATAACTGTGTAATTGGTTTTAATGAAACTTTATTACAAAATAAAATAAAAATACAGTTTATAAGCATGGCTAATAGTTGCCTTGCTTAACACCAAGAAATGTTTCCTGCAGGAAAATATTGCATGTTCTTATGTCCCAATATAGTCATTGCAGTCAGTTCTTTTCCCATTTGAGAACTAATTAGGATGCTACTGTGTATTAGAAAAACCAATACGTACAATGTCTGTAACTGTCCCCCAAAACCTAGAATCCATAAGTTTATCTTCAGAAAGAAATTATTATGCAACTACAAACTGGAGGAACATTTTATGCTTTTATCCTTTAAGCTCAGGTAAAAACTAGGATTTTGACCTTATTAGTTTGCAGAATCTTAAAATAGACTGTCAAATTCAGCTAGCTTATGTGTACAGGTCTTTCCTGAGGGACCTGCTAAAGCGTCCTCAATTGTACTTATGATCGATAAGTAGTATGAGATGTTCAAATTGCTCCCCAGCTCCTTCCCTTTTGGTTGTTGGGAAACTCTTGAAACCCTGGGCCTGGGATGGGTCTCAGGAAGTCACTTGGTGAGCACCAAGTTACCAGGCAAGACGACCACTCAGGAGAGTCAAGCCTTCTCTTTCCCACAGAGATGCCAAGTGGACTTTATCAAGAATCCCACCATGACAACCAGCACACTCTTTGTGCCAGAATGTCTATATATGCAAATATTGATGCATGCATCACCACCACTTAGGAACTTTGTATGGCCAGAATCCCAATACTGAAGAGGCAGGAGCTTCTTCCACTGAGTTACAAATTTGTGTCGTGTTTATGTGAGGTGCTACTATATAGCTTTATGTTTGTAGCAATAAAGACATTGACAGCCATAAAACAACTTGGACTTTAATAAATAAACCATGTGAACTGGTAATGCTGACTTTCTCTTATCCAGTAACACCATCTCTGAATTTTTAGATTGCCTGGTTGAAACTTCAAGGAAAGATGGCAGGCTCCCTCTAGTGGGAAGTGAGCTTTGAGATGGGATCTTTTCCCTTACACTGTAAATCCATGGTTAGGTTTTGTTTGAAGGAAAAGGGGCCTCTTCTGACACTGATGTTTTTATTCCTCTTCAAATTTTACCAAACAAAATATCAATTATCAAGGAATTTCATAAGACAGTCAGGAGTTCAAGGTCAGTGCTCCTATGTGAACAAAGAGAAGGGGGTGGTACCAATCTGTGCCTAGGCACTCACTTGCCAGAAATGCAAATCTGTATGTATGAAAGTTATATAACTTAACTGGTAGGGCTTTTAATTTGATAATTAAGAAGTTTAAAGGATGATATCATCTCTTTATTTTATTGCTGAGTTTAAATGACTTGCTCAATATCAAATTGAAAGTCTGCCTTGACCATGGAGTTCCTGTTAATTTTAAAGAACATAAGCCATATTCACTGTGCCCAAAAATCTCATGTTTTTCTTTATTTTTTTTAGGTAATCAGCTTTCTGTCACCTATATTTTATATTTGAAACTAAAATTGTATCCATATTACATTTAATAACATGTAAAATGTTAATTCTGAATCATCAAGAAAAAAAAAAACTGTACCAAGGCAAGGGAGTAAATGACACATTAAAGATGTGGGTTCTTGTTTTACAATTGGTAAAGAAAAAAAAAAAGAAAGAAAACAATTCAATGAAATTTATTATTAATATTGGTCTACATCCCAAAATGGTAAATAACCAATTCTAGGAAGAATAGTAGTAGCAAGTTATAGACATTTTTAGCTTTAAAACTCTACATCATTTATTTAACCTATTCCATTTCATATATATTTTATAAAAAGTGTGTGTTTCTTTGCTTTTTTGGTAACTATTGACAAAATCAGTCTACACTGGAAAAAGTTTTCCTCTCACTAATTTTTTTTCTCCCTCTTACAGCAAATGATGTGCTTAGTTTCGGAACACTGGTCAGTACTTCTAATACCTACGATGGGTCTGGTGTTGTGACTGTGGAGACCAGCCATCCACTCCTCTGGACCATGGCTATCAAAAACTAACCTGCTGACGGGCATCTACTGGTGTGCCTCTGCCTTACCTTATTGCCAATGGTTTATTGCTTTACATGAACAATTCAACCAGGTTTGCAGGAATCTAAACTTCTGCATGGAAGCCCACTTGTTTCAATGATGTGAGGGGCTGAGGACATAATTCTATGATAGAGCACTTTTCTAGCATGCACAGGGCCTTGGGTTTGACCCACCGCACCACAAAACATGAATAAAATAAACAAAGATGTTACTGTTTAGATAATCCAAGTGACACTATAAATGATAGATCTCAATTTTAATGTGGAAAAATTATGTGTTATGAAAGTAAATCAACTTTATTACATTGATTGGAAAGCTCATGTGGATCATTCCATTATAAAAAAAAATCCGTACTGATTATTTAATCTTTCCATTTATCTTCAAATACTTCTTTTAATTTTGAAGCAGAAAAAACTTCTGTTGAAGTTCCTCTTAGAATCTAGGCCATCCTTAAATGCTTGACAATGAGGGCTGCCTCTGAATATCTCCTAATGTTAATTTTCTACATAATACAATGTTACCTTTTACCTGCAAAAAAGAAATTCTTCCAGATTGGTGTGTTAGAACTGAACCATTTCACCCTGACCTCATTACTATCTTTAGCATAAATAATAAGTCAAGAATAATTGGCCTAATTGTTAGATTTGAAAATGGTTTTGCAGTCTGTGGGTGAAAGATAAATGACAATTCATGATACCCTGCTTCTGCGTTAAACACCAATTTGAAAGTATGATTGCTAAGTTTTTGTGTGGTGGTGATAATCATCATCATTACAACCTAGATAAAAAAAATGTACAGGGGAAAATTAACATAAAAATTAACTTGTTTTGACATACCTCAGCCTTAAAAAAAATATGGTTCATAGGCCAGTATTTATTCAAATGACCAGAAATTGAATCTAAGAGGATCAATGAATATTGTATACCAAGGAGACAGAACCTGAAGCCAGTGTTCTTATTCCATTCTGCTATCAGTCTAAGTTCCCTGGACCCCAGTCCTTAGCTATGAAATAGGAGGGGCTGGACACTGTGTATCAGAGGTTCCTTCCACACTCCTCAGTGCTCACATTAGCACTTGTAAGTTACTGACATGGCCAGCTTCATCTATTAGTACATCAAAATGTATTCAGCCAGGCATGGTGGCGCACACCTAAAATCCCAGAGGCTCAGGAGGCTGAGGCAGGAGGATAACAAGTTCAAAACAACAGCAAGGTGTTAAGCAACTCAGTGAGACCCTGTCTCTAAATAAAATACAAAATAGGGCTTAGGATACGACTTGATGGTTGAGTGCCCCTGAGTTCAATCTCCAGTACAAAAAAAAAAATGTATTCTGTCTCTCTTATGTAGAGACCCTCCTATCTCTTCTACCCTTCCCTATTGTATTTACCAAACCCAATCTTGCCATACAATCCACAGTTTAAGGAGAACCTGCCCAATGTGTTCCATGTACAGAGAGTGCCTATGTCACTATAAGGAAAGTGACCAACAACTGTTTTCTTCTCGGTGCTACACCAGGGTGATGCTCAGATTACAAATAGAGAATTAAAAGGGATCAGTTAACTATCTTGTGATTCTGAGCAGATAATCATTAAAAATAGTTTTTGATTATGTTATGCAAATATATAAGTTAAAAATCCAGATGTCAAATAAAAAATTATCAATGTTCATGTCTGTGGTCAATTTTTAAGAAAATAATCCATTTTAATCACCTGCATTCATCATGACCAATCTCTCATAATCAGTGTTTCTGTATAAAATGTTGTGCTCAGAGAATGAATTCACATCACTCATCTGACTTCAGAGGGCAGGCCAGGACATTAATACTTCGGACCTCTCTCTGCTGCCCCATCTTTTCACATAGAATCACTTGCAAGTTTTCCGTCTTCCTTTTTATCCATTCTAAATCCTACAAGGTAAGCAGGTACAACATTTCTCTACTTTTAGAGATGGGACAATAGGGGTCCAAAAGGACGAAGGGTAAACCTCTGGTCCATGTAATCTAGGGAGTAACTTCCATGGAGAGAGGTGAGAAGGAGTTTTAATAGCACTGGGTTGCTCTCTGAAATCGCATGACAGATTTCAATTCATAATGATGGATTACACAGCTGAGACAGTTAGGAAGCTGGGGGAAGGCTAGTTAAGCACTGGCTCCTCCACTGATTGGCTAGTCTAATTCAGAACCTCCAATGGAAAACTTGCCTAAGACCTCCACAGTGCCCCACAACCCTGCCCCAAAGGGAACCAGGAGAGAGGAGGAGTGGCCAGAGTGACCACGGTCTCAGCCCTGGTTACAACTTTCTACTTGATTGGAAGTTGAGGCTCAGTCATGTTTACTAGAAGTACACTCACAACTTATAAGAGAACTATGTCCATCATTTAGAAATTTTACTCCCAAAGAATGCATGTCCTATTTACTCTGACAGTCTTATCAGTTATAATAAACAGATGCTTATCAAAAATATATATGGTTTGCTGAAGCTTAGTAAACATTGTGGGAGGGTGGGGGGGAGTATTGAGACTTATCTACACTGCCCCCTGGGAATCATGCTGACACCATTGAAGGCCAGTGGAAGGAATTCTCTTAGAATTCCCAATTCCTGCTAGCTACTGAAAAACTAAGCACAGATCTTATTATTTGACCTCTTCCCATCCCTTGAAACAACCTAAGGGCAATTTTCCTGTATGTGCTACCCCCACTGAATCATTTGAAAGAGAGCCCACTTATTAATGTATTTATGGTCACAGTATAAGCCTTGAGATGATGAGATTGCAGGTGCATAATAAACTCTGAGTCTCCAAGGAAGCCCCTCTTCTTCCCTCAGTCCTGTTAGTTCAGATTCTGACCACTAGCTTGTATTCTTAAGAGAAACGTAAGTTGGGCCCTGCTGGGAAAGTAACCCATGCTCCTTACCTTGTACTTTAATCAGTTTCTTCTTAACATGGGTCAGGTTTATAGCTTTTATAAATCTATTGACTGTCACCCAAAATGGCATTGGGCTATCTAAATCACCGATTGGTGAAAACATCCTATGATCACCCTTCTCTTCAGGCAGTAGGAAAATTGGGATGTGGCTACGGCCCAATAGTTGGAGTCATGATAAACAGTAAAATGTTATACATTCTGTGTGTATTTAAGGAGCTGGAGTAGGTGGGAGTGGATCTGGCAGAGGACTGTATTTTCCTTAATTTCTGAGAAGCAGAGCAGTTTTCTCTGAGGATAGGAACAAGGCATTCACTAATGACAGAGAATCACTTAGAGCAAAGAGGAGGTGGACGCAGCCTGGGTGTGCTCATAGAGCTGTAAGGCTTGAGCTTTTGCACCAGGCTTTTGTGTGTGAAGCCAACCTTGCTTACTAGTCCTGCTCAAACCCATGCTCCCAAAACAGCACGTGGATTTGACATGATTAAGACTGATGATATATGCCAAGTCAGTAAAGCGTAAGAATCATTTTTCTCTCCCATCAGGCTCTGGTTATAAAGGGATATGGTCTGAGTGGTGACTTTCAAACTATATTTACCATGACCCATAAGGAATACATTTTGTCCTGCACCAAGTCCATAGACAGACCCAAACACATACACACACAAAGAAACAACTATATTCTCATCATTGTGTCTGAAATTGAAAAAAAAAAACAGAAATATTTTCTAGATTGAAGAGCACACCTATAGAAAGATCAAAGTGCATGAAGGTATTTTGAAGTGTATGTGTCTGGGGTTTCTGCATTGAGCATGCACTAATTTCCTAAGTTTAGAATAATATTAGAATGTACTTCCTTGTAGAAATTAAAATGAAATCCATAAAGTCAGGCCATTCCTAGGGTGTCAATGTGTATGGACTAATTCCTGCCATATACAAGTTCACCCTTCCTTGCCCATAGCAGATTTCACTTATCAGTCCTAATTTCTTTTCTGATGAGTCCCAGCCTGAGCCTCAGAATCCATCTCTAAACGCTTCTCCAGGCAGACATGATCAATTACTCTCCACCAGCTGGGAGTTGATGTGTAATTTTACCATTGCACACAAAACTGCTCTGCTTCACCCCAGAAAAGAGGTTATGTAACATCACCTTGTTCATGGTTAATGGCAAATAAACAGATCCAAGGGCTTGTCCCCATGTACTAAAAGCAAGGGCTCTGAACACAGTGCAGTAAAGACTCATTCCATCCCTGTGAATAACCTGAAAAATACAAACAGAGGGCCCCGAGATCATCCATGGTTGAGAAGTAAGAAATTTTTCATAATAGACCTACAACTGGTCCCTGAACCTAGAAATCTAAGTTACACAATACTGAATTAGTCCAAAGGCTGAAAAGGGTTTTAATAGTCAAAGCAATTGATCTAAGGATAAAAATCATACCTTAATATGTATTTTTTAGAAGTACTTTAAAGACCTAAAGACTTTGTGAATATCTGATAGCCAGTTATATTTTTAAAAAACAAGCATAGGAATTTGTAAGTATAACTTTCTATAAGAAATGAGCAGAGCTATTTTGTGCCTACTTGTCCCCAACTGCTAGTCTGATTTTTTTTTCACTACTGTATGTCTTTTTCTAGATGTTTTTATAGATGATGTCATGCAGTATGTTCTACTTTGTGTCTATACTTTTTATGTCTAACTTCTTTCAATCAGCCTGCCCTGTTGAACTGTATTCGTGTTATTGCATGTGTTCAATGTTTCACTCTTTTTCATTGCTGAGCAGCAGTAGTGTATTGTATAGATGTGCCAAAATGTTGTTTATTTATTCACCTCTTGATGAGGGCTTGAGCAGTTCCCATCTTTTAATCATTACAAGTAGGCTGTTTTGAACATCTGTGCACACATTTTGAGGTGATATATTCTTTATGTTGGGTGAATACCTAACAGTATAATATCTAGAATATAAGATAGATGCATGTTTTATTTTATAAAACTGTCAAACCTTTTCCAAAGTGATTATACCATTATAATCTCTTACCAGCAGTGTGTGAAAATTCTAGTTCTACCAAAACTTGCCCACACTTGCTGTGATTAATGTCTTCAATTGTAGACATTCTAATATGTGCGTCGTGGTTTCTCAAAAAAGAATTGTGCAGAGTTCTATCTAAATGCCTTCTTTAATTTTATGCTTAGTTGTTCAATATTATGAGACTCTGCTAGAATTTAAATGCTCTGGGGTCATGCACTTTGTCTTTCTTGTCGTCTGCTCTCCCCTACTCCTAGAATAGGGCCTTGTCTACAGCAAATGTGCAATAAAAACTTCTGTAGTCAAGTAACCGCCAAGGCACCACAATGATATACTGCATGATCCACCTCGTCCCTGAAAACAACTGTTCTCTTTCTTCCTTGATCCATTTAAAGTAGATACACTGAGTTGTCCCTGAATAAGTTCCTCTGTCCTAAAGATAAATGTGCTAATTCAAGGTTAGACAGACCTGGTGATATTCTTGCTCACTCACATCTGAAGTGGGAAACGATGTTCACAGGGCCAAGGCCAGGCCTGAAGGTATCATCCAAAGCAAAGCACTCGGCAAGAAGAAATGGAAGTTGAAGGCCAGGGACCTTAATTTGCCTGAACCAGAGATAAAGGAAAGTGAAAGCCCAGAGGCAGTCATGACCAGTTGGAACATTGGTTTGGGCCAAAAGAATCAATGAGGAGCACATATGACTGTCCTGGCCTAACAGGACAGATGGAAGAACAAGAGGGTAACAGAAGTTCTTCAGATCTAGAGATCTTAGAGTTGGGGTGACTTCTGTATTTGGAGGTACCATGCATGAATGTAACTGTTGTGAGCTGGGTTGGACTATGGGCAAGAACACATGTCAACTTCAAATACTTAAGAGACTATACCATTTCTATTACCTTTGTGTTTAAATTTTATTTGTCCTACAGATTAAACCTTTAAACCCATATGAAATTAGCCACTCTAAAGATTCAGTGTTCTGTATTGAATGACAAAATGGCACTGTTATCTAACTTTTATGAAAAATGTTTCACCAGTGCATTATAGTTATACATAACCATAGTGGTGTTCATTCTGACTTATTCATAAATGCATATAACATAATTGGCTCCATTTCAGTACCCAATACTTCTTCCCTCTTCTCTGTTCTCCCTCAACACCTTCCTCTACTGTATTGGTTTGCTATCTACTTATTTATTTTTAATTGGTGCATCATATATAAAAGCAGAATGCATGTATGTATGATTACATGACAACCCTTTACCTAACTTAAAAAGTTACTGATGCCAAAAAAATAGCTTGCTATTTTTAAAAACTTATCCAAAGAAACATCTTTCTATCCCTTTTATTAACACTCAGCAATATTTGTAGAATGCATGAATCAGATTTCTATGTAGTATTAAAATATTTCCCCCACTTGTCCCTCATATAAATTCCCAAGCCTTGTCCCACCATATCTTGCTGGAATAACCCCAATGGCTTTTTTTTTTTAAAGAGAGAGAGAGTCAGAGAGAGAGAGAGAGAGAGAGAGAATTTTTTTAATATTTATTTTTTAGTTCTCTGCAGACACAACATCTTTGTTTGTATGTGGTGCTGAGGATCGAACCCGGGCCGCACGCATGCCAGGTGAGCGCGCTACCGCTTGAGCCACATCCCCAGCCCCCCCAATGGCTTTAATGTTATCAGTTAAGAAATTTTAAAATTAGTCATCTTTAAAATAATAAGGCTTTCAATATGATGGCTCTATGACCAAAAACATTAGGACATAAAGGATTTCTTAGAATAATACTGAGATTTTACTTTTCTGTGGTACAGTAACTTCTTGGGTGTCCATCCATACTATCGCAACCACCGTAGCAACAATATTAAGAAACACCATCCAATCTACCTTTAATTCCCTGTTCATTTAAAAAAAAAAAATCCTTGGTCCCTGTGGTCCACATGCTCTGCTCTTTTATCTTTCCTCCTTAAAATTCAGGGAGGCCCACATGAATAATGAGATGAAGAGAAATGGTGCAGAAAGTTGTGGGACCACTTTCAGTCTCTGAGTTTATTATGCATATTTTAAAGCTGACCTTTTACTCTTAAGTTTTTATTCAATTCCATTGCAAGGAATTGAGCAACAAGGTCATTTTGGGTGCAGTGTCATTGAACAATAAGATTCCTGAAGAAAAGTCACAAATTAAAGCATGAAGAAGCCAAGAGATTCTTTTTAAGGTCAACTCAAGGTAAGATAGAGATCTGTTCAGGAATAAAGTAAGTTTTACACAAAGAGAAAAATTTGCCCTAAATCTTTAAAAGTGGATATGCAAATCATTTTCACAATTTTTTCTCTAGGTACTTCTAGTGATTATGTATCCATATAAATACATAAATGGTGTCAGTCACATTGATACAGGTGTTATCCACTCCTGTTTTCAGGGACTCATAGCTTCCTGCAAGTTGCTGTGAGCCTCAGCCTTTCCAGGGTATATATATAATTTGTAAAGCTGAGGCTCCACAGCATGAAAATCAAGGTAAATAATGTTAGAATCAAAGGAGACAGATTGATACAGAGAACTGGGCATTACAGAGGCCTCACTAAAGTTTCTACTGACTCATATTCTAGCCTTTGAAAGATTCCATATGGCAGAAGCTTTCTGGAGACTACAGGAGGCAATTCATCTTGTGGTAGAGAATCTTCCAGTAATCACAGAAGGGACTCTCTCCCTTTGGACAGGGCAAGCTTCTTGGCAACAGAAGTGCTCAATCCAATCCCAGACAAGCACTTGGGATCTGACTTCTCGGTTACTCTCCAAGACTCTGTGTAGAGTCACCTCAGGAAATCCAAGGTTTAAACCAATATGAAGTTTGCTACCTCTTGGTTTGTGCTGTTCAGCTAAAACCCTACGAAGCGATCCTAACTTTTGAGTTTTACAAATGTATTCTTACAGACTCTTAAAAATGTACTGCTATTTAATCCGCTAGTCAGGTTTCCAGGTGGGAGATTTATGGCTGGTGAAGTTTTGGTCTACGAAAGAATGCAGGTGAGTGAAAGACTATGGATGAAAATGAGTTTCCCTGGTTCGACCAGAGTTCCACTGTCCCAGTCAGGACACTGACTAGCACTGTCCCATTTCATTATAACAATGAGTTAACTTTCAATAAAGCAGAAATGACAGGTAAGTGGGATATTCCAAACTGCTATCTGATTCTGAAACACCAAGGTGAGTGCCTGCGGGAAGGCAGACGCTAGGTTACAGCAATGCCCTCCCAGGGCTGCAAGATAATTAAGCATATGAGAAACAACGGAGAGAAAGGGGCAGGAAGGAGAGAGAGGGAGAGAAGAAAAGAAAAAGGAAAGAGGAGCGTGACGGTGCAGACCAGGAAGACTGCAAAAAGTGAAAGAGTGAGACCTTCACTGTGGGTGAAGGAGACAGAGAAGAGGGAGGAACTTTGGCGTCCCCCCTTCTAAAGCGCTCAGAGTTCTCATTAGCGTGACCTTGAAATATTAATCAAAAGTCAACAGACAATTAGAAGGTGGCCTTCTAGGCAGTAAAAAAGGATGATTGTGGAAAGTCTATAAAAATAAGATAATGTTAAGGGTACAAAGAGGAGTGCGTAACAACATTGTGATCACGATTATGTAAATATTAGCCAAATTAGGAGAAATATATATTTAAATTTTTATCAAAATTAACTTTGAGCAATGAAATTATAGGGGCTTTTTCCCCCTCTTTATACTTCTATCTTCTTTTTTCTATAATTTTTACGAAGGAATAAGTCCCACCTATGATTATAAATTAAATCTTATATTTGAAAATATGTACATATAAAATACTTAATTAAGCTTTCTATGTAAGAAAAAAATAAAGCTCATTTAAATAAAAGTATTTTCTAAGATTCAAAGACATTCACACAAACTGACAAGAAGAGTCATGGAGAGAGGCCCAGAGGGTCACGGAGATAGGCCCAGAGGCTGATACACTAGGATTCTCAAAGCCACTAGGAACCAGAAGCACACGGAACAGTCCAGGAAGACGCTGTACAGAGAAATGGGCAGACTGAGCACTCACAGTGCATCCGGCAGCACAGAGACCCCTCTGTCTGACTTACTCTGAAGTTTCTCAGGCCCTGAGAGAATTTGTTTTAATATTCCCAAACACATATTATTTTGTTTTCTATTAAGTTTCAGCTTTTCATTGAATCACTTATTCATTCAACAGTCAACATCATTGAGCATCTCCTCCTGAAATTCCACATCGGTCCTTTTAATCACACCCATTTGTACCCTAGACCCTCTTGTGCTCACTGGGCAAAGCCAAAGCCCTGTTTAAATCAACTCTGCCTCACCTGCACCTGAAAATTCCTGGATAAAAACATGGCAGCCACAAAGACTGGCCTAACTCAAAATGACATATAAACACACATGCATGCTTTCCTGTAAGTGGGCCATCAGGGACGCCCAGCAGTGGACAGCTCTCCTTCTTCTCAGTTCTTTAGATAGCCTAGCTTCCTGATTCCCTGAGAAAACCATAGCAATCAAAAGAGAACTCCACAGATGCCCCATGCGGACCCACCCACTGGCATGTGACCCTTCTTCCTCTGCACTTGGACACAGTTCCCCCAGTTCCCTTCTGAGCCACTCAAGGTCACCCTGCAGTCCGACCCTCTGTTTCCGATATCATGGTTTGTCTTTTCCCTGGATCATTCTCATTGGGATTGAAAAAGAATACTATCTTAAGTTCTTCTGTTGACCCCACTACCACCTGAATTCTTTATTCTCCTTTTGCAGTAACTAAGCTCCGTCAGACAGTTATCCAAGTGCTCTCTAGTTCCAATCTTCTTCTTCCGGTTCTCTTAAACCCCCTCCAGTGAGTCCTCGGCCTCACTTCTTCACCAGAGCGACCATCTTTAAGGACACCCTTGACAACATCCACCTTGCTAAAGCCGGTGCTCAAGCCTCAGTCCTCACTGGACGTAACCCATCAGGTCAGTATTTAATACAATCAGCACCACACGCTCCTGACCCACTAGCTGCTCCTCCAAATCCTTTCTTGGTTCTTCGACTTTCCTCCAGCCTTTCTGTGTAGAACATTCTCAGGCCAAGCACCATCCTTCCCTTGTTCACTGTGTCTGCTCGCTCCCTCTGTGATCTCACCTAGTACTTACCTCCTTGACCTCTCCAGGAGGATATCGATATACACTTTTCATATCAACTGTCCAACACTGAACTTCTGCTCTTCTCCCTAATGCCTGCTCCATCTCCATTGATGGCAATCCCATCCTTCTACTTGTTCACAAACCCTTGAGAAGCTCCTGCCTCACCCAAGTCTTTATAATGAAGGAAAATGCCTCAGATCTCCGGATCTTTCATTCTCACCCTGCCCACTCCGTTCAAACTCCCGGCCTCCTTGGTATTCTGCAAACACGCCCACTCACCCTGCTACCTAGGGCCTTTGCTACAAGCCAGACCCCAGGCTTCCTGCACCAAATGTAAAAATGAATTTTCTCTAATGACACTGGATATGATTAATGATGAACAAAATAAATCAAATAAGATTCTATGATATTCTAGTGTCTCAATAATTCCTCTTGTAAATTAAAAAAAAAAAAAAAGTTCCAAAATATCCCCAACTAAAACATTCCCCTGACATGGCAATCAAGTCTTATGCTTTACTCAATAATTAGTTGGACTGAAATCCAACCATGCCCATTTTTCTGCAGTTCTGGCAGTAAATTGATAACCTCCGGCAAATTTTAATTAGCACCCTTTAAAATAGGATTGCTAGATTAGTCAACTATGAAATCACCTCACCCAGATGATGAAGTTCACATTGCATTTCAAATCCATAACCTGTTTTCACTGGATGAACGTACCGTCACTCCCCGATTGCTAATTACACTCTTCATCTGTGTTTTCATACGTGCACGGCACAGCGTGTGACCCATGCCAGCTGGCGCATCTCGACACTGCTGTTCCTCCTAGCCTTCCAGGCATTTGGTGTTCACAATTAGGGCTCCATCCTTAACCCAGTGGATGGATTTAAATAGTAAGCCTCCTGATGTCCAGGGAGATCACCTGCGTTCAGTGATATGCTCAAGCAAGGGGCTCAGTAAGGACACTGCAGTTACCCTGGCAGGAAAGCTGCTGACTCAGGGGAGGGCCCTCCTTCCTCATGTCTTCACACCCAGATAGCATTTGTAAAGCACCAACTGTTTAGCAATTGCGTTCACCAGATCTTATATAAGAATGTGAATTGGGTAGTTTTAACTCCACCTTACGGATGAGAAAGTGAATCTTCAGATGGCTTAAATGACTAAACAAAAGCCAGAGCCAAACCAGGGTCACTGGTCACCTGACTGCAGTCTGCTGCCATCACTCTGGTGTCCCCCATCACCTCCAGCCTCCACTCTAACCATCATCTCCTTGTTTGACTCCCTCCAGTCTGTGGCCAGATCTTGCAAAATGCATCGATGCTTGCTTTGCTCTTTCACCTGAAGGAATCATCCCTGCAGTCAGGCTGAGGTCCAGGATCATCCTAGGAAGCCCTGCAATATCTGTCCTCTCCCACCTGCTCTCTGCACTCCAGCCACCCTGGCACCTTTGGTTTTCTAAATTCGATTTGTGCTCACAAGTCCCTTGCACAAGCTAGTACCTCTGTCTGTGACTCAATCCCTTCCTTTTGAACTTGAACTAGGTCTGTCTTTAGTAAGTGGAGCCTTCTAGGCACCCACTGGGGAGGCTGAGCCCCGGGAGTGTCACCACGCTCTCCCTTGGCCGCTGCTGAGGGAAAGCAGGCACCGCCATGGCCTTGATGGAACTGTCACAGTGGAAGCTGAAGTGGTGCTGGTGCTGCACCTGACCTTGGTACCCTCAGAAGCCAGCCTTCACCCTGGGGAAGACAAGTGCACAGTGGGCGTGGGTGAGGGTGAAACTGTTGGGACTCTCCATGGAGGAAACAGACCGTGAAGCCCTGGCCCAGAAAAGGGGGGCTAAGGAAATCTGGGAAGGGGAATAAATTTGATTCTCTATATTGACCTATTAATCACTGTACCATATCAAGATGTCTTTCCTAGACTCTAAATGGTTCTATAACCCAAAGCAAATAACTCATTTACCTTCTTTCTTGTGGTTCTTTTAGGTACTGATAAGGAAGAAATTGACCTAAGGAAAATCTATTGGGTACCTTGTATTATTAAATTGTACCTTTCTACTCTACTCTTTCTCATGCTTATCAATTACAGGGCTGTCTTCTGATAGAGATGAGGATTCCTTCCTGTGTGAAATTTTCCCAAAGGATCCATTGTAAGAGTGGGTTTCTAGATCTCATAGCTACGCTGGCATTGGTAGGATTCTACTCTAGCTCCAATTGACAATAAGGATCTTAATAATTCTGGCCTCAAAATTGTCCTCAAGAGTTGGGTATAAACTTACACAATCTCAGAGCTGGGAGAAACACCAAAGGACATTTAATCCGGTGCTCAAATCTTTCCTTAATGAGCAGCATATTTGCAAAGAGCAGGACTGTATGCATGTCCTATCACAAACACAGGCATGGACTTTTAATTACCTTATGGCAACTGAACTATTTCCCAATGTCCTCAGGCATCGAACATCTAGTTGACACGAGTCTAAATATATTTGATCAACATTGAAAAACAGCAGAACTTCTTCCACCAGGTGGCAGCCAAACCCTACTAAAGTACAGCGTATATGCTCCACTTTCATCTCCACCATGTAAAACAGTGAATTAAGTTGTGTCCATATTTTCAACCAAGTTCAGGAGGCTCATCATAGGAAAACCCTGGGAAGAGCATTCCTAATGGTGAAGCTCTGAGAAAACGGAGAGTTGATACAAGGGCCATCATCAGGCGCCAGGGTTGAAAGCTGCTTTAGGGTAGCTGTGACAGTCCAACCAGAATTGGGTTCACACCCCAACCCAGTGAAGCTGGGAAATCAGAGAGCAGAGCACAAGCTTCCTTCCAACTCCCAGGTACCCCAGTTCAATAAATCACACCGTGTCTGCTAGGTTTAGTCAGTTTATTGGATACCCCCATACAAAGACACAGTCCTGGACGAGACGCTCATGTACACTGTGGACAAAGACAGACTGACACACAATGTGAGGAGTAAAACAGAAACTACCCTATGGACCTCTCTTTTTCCCCAAATAAGCCCCTAAGCCAATTAAGGTAGTGCTAGTAGGAAGAGGTCATTGCAAAAGTAGACTAACTATCTCAGGGGTTTGATACAAGCAAAGAAAGGAAGATGACAGTCTGTGGCACATACGACTTCAGATGCTACCATTGTGCTCAGTCGGGAAAACAGGGAAAATGGACAGGGAAGCAAGGAAAGGAAAAGTGGTTCTCCCCTTCCCTGTTGATTCTCTTTCCTTCTAACCAAAGCTTGCCGGCCCAGCTTCTGTCTCCCGAGTCTTTTCCAAAGAACCCCCACATAAGTCTGCAAGAGAGAAGAGAGCAGGCACTTGCCTTGGCTCAAGTGTCTGACTGGGTGTTATTGGGGGATTGGGGGCACAAGGGCTTCTTACTATTCCCAGCCCTAATGGAGCGTGGAAACAGGCCTGCTGGAGACGCTGGTCCAAGCAGATGGGGGACAGGATCGCACAGGAACTGAGCGATCCAAAAGGTTGCTCAACACACACAGGTTCTCCAATATGAAGAAAAGTTTAACATAGGAAGTGGTAAACACATTTTAAGCCCATCACTACCCCGTTCCGACATTCACAAGGACGTGGATCACAACATTCTCCCCAGTGTATCCAAATACTAGTGCAAGTCCTCTCCAACACTGTGCTTCAGGAACACATTTCTAGTCAATCGTAGTTCACACAAAAATTAAATACTATGTCCCAAGTCACAACTAGAGAGATCACCTCTGCACAAGATTCCTGGGATTCCAGAACTTTTCAACAGGGAAGCCACTAGCAAGCATAGGACATGTGGCTGGTGTGATTAAGGTCTAAAATTGTATTTAATTAAAATATAAATTTATGCAGTCACATATCTATAGCGGCTAGTGTATTGGACAGCACAGTTCTAGAACATTGCCATCATTACAAAGAGTTCTAGTGAAAAGCTCCAGCCCCTTCCACAGCACATCAGCAATTGATAATATCCACAGAACGCACAACCAGAGCTTTGCTATTCCATGGATATGCTCTTTGCAGCCTCTAGTGGAGCTTCTTCAAAGATTGAGTCCTCTATCTGTAATAACACCTGAATCAAATTAAATCTGATTCTGCACTCTCACAAACGAGCACGTTGAGAAAGTCAGACTTGGTAGTGTGTGAGGCATGAGGGTCTTCAGTTCAGTCTGCTGAGGAGACTTTGGCAATCCATTCAGACACAGGGGCCGCCATTCCATCTTGCTCAACCTGGGCCTAGAGGTCCTTTGTGATAAGTCTCCAGGTCACAGATCTCAGAGTTCACCTTCCACCCTGACTCCAGTGTCAATATGTCATCTCGGTCCTATTAACCAAGTGGGAAATAATGTATCAATGGGCCATGGGTCTTTGACGTTCACAGATCACACACGCACGTGTGCACACTCACATCCAAGAAGCAAACAGGTGGGGGGTGGGGCTCACTCCTTTCCTTACAGCACATGCTACCCTCCAGATGTGGCCCGGTCAGCCTCTTCAGAGCCCTACACCTTTCTTCTGCTGCCATGATTCAGAAATTTAAGAGCACAAATTCCTCTTGTCTTTGTTCTGGATCGGGAAAACTCCCCCACAACCCCCAGTCTCAAATTTAAATTTCTGCTTGCTAAGTAGAAGCAGTGTTGATCCTGGGTAAGAGGGCTGAGTTGTCCACAAAGCATTAATATTTTCTGCTCTTCAATTTGTTTACAAAAATGATACTAAAATACAAATGAACACCTTCACAAATTATTCTTCCAGATTGACCAAGTATTGCCATTTTCTAAATAGCAATAGTACATAATCATTCATCCATTCAACTTGTAGCATCACAGACAATATTAGCTGCCCAGATTAATTAAAATTATGCAAATTATATACCCTCTTCCGAACTCAAGTATGACTTTTTTACCACTGACATGGCAAATTTGCAAGGAAGAGAATTTTAAAGTGGCTACTCCATTAGGATATTCCACTGCTTATATCCAGTGCTCAAAACCAACTCTTCTGAGAATACCAGTGTTCCCATTTCCAAGCAAAACTGTGATGAAGGTCTGCTTCACTTCATTAATGTTCTCATATTACATGTACAGAGAGATCCAGTTCCTCTTGTAAGTCAGAGAACAGATGATTCAACTTTCTTTGTCCTTCTTCATCCCCAATGCTAGGCCATAGCTTATTTCCTAGACTGTCATCTCATTCATCTAACTCACTCCCCTTCATTTCCTGTTCTATTTTTTAAAGTTTTTAATATGTTCTAATTTGTTATGCATGACATTAGAATGCATTTTGACACATTGTACACAAATGATGCAGTCACACCAGTAATGTAATCCTACATGTATGTAGGGTGAGAATGTCTGTTTCATTTTTTGGTCCTTGCCATCCCTACACACCACTCCTCCCCTTAATCCCTTCTGCACAATCCAAAGTTCCTTCATTCTTCCCTACCTCCCCCCACCAACTATGGGTCAGCATCCGCTTATCAGAGAAAACATTTGGCCTTGTTTTGTGGGGGACTGGCCTATTTTGTTTAGCATGATATTCTCTTGTTCCATCCATTTACCTGCAAATGCCATAATTTCATTCTGCTTTAAGGCTGAGTAATATTCCATTATGTGTATGTACCACATTTTCTTTATCCGTTCATCTGTTGAAGGGTGTCTAGATCGGTTCCTGTTCTTTCCTTTGGCAGGGTGAAGGCGTAGAATTCCCCGATGCCCCCAGGTCCCTTTGCATCAATTTTGCAAGTTTTGGTTTTGTTTTACGGCACAAGTGGACCCAGCCTGATGTAGGCAAGGGCTGCCCTATGTCTCCAGGGCCTTCAGTGTCTAATAGTGTACTTTACATAGAGTTGGCACCAATTCAGCAGAAGACAGACTGAATTTTGTATATAGTAGGAACTTAATGCATGTCTGGGAGTTACAGCATGACACTCCTAGCATTAGCCTTCTCTAGTTTCTTTGGCTAACTGAAAGGATGGGATGCAAATATTCTCCCTCCCTTTCTGAGCTTTGTCCTCTATATTCTCAAAGAAAGAGAAACAAATTGTGGGTGTTAATGATTCCGTCTAAGATCAGGTTTGAGGGGGAGGGGGCGGTGAAGTGTACTGAAGAGGCAGAGATCAGGAAGGGACTTTATCTGTCCATGGGCTAAGGAGGTGAGGAGGTGTGAGTGGAAGGAGAAGCAAGACCTCAGAGAGGACTGTGTCCATTCTACAGACATAAGGCCACTGAGCCCTCCTACCAAAAATTGCATTCACTGCAGCAGAGAGCTCTCAGCACCGAGGGATGTGTAGACAGAGTTGAGTCTCAGTGATGTGCTCTAAGGACAGAGGACAGAAGAGTGGGTGTTATCTTCTCTGTCAGGCCCAGAATCTTGGAGAAGCCTTGGAATGACATGATGAATTTCTTGCCAGCCTAGAAAGACACAACCTAGAGAGTCAACAGGAGACTGACTTACAGAACAAAGGAGATGTTTCTCAGCTTATCTGAGTGTGTGAGTCTAGATTCCGGTGTGCCATAGTCCTTAAATAGGTGGGAAGCATGCAGGGTAAGTTCCCATAGTTATGCAGCTTTTGCACCGAGATCCTGGTTGCACCAATAGTCTCTTGATTTGAACAGGAAGAGCAGAGCTGTATTGCCTGAACCCAGGGAGCAGTGACACTGGGCATGTGCCCACAGACTTCATAGGGCAATGCTATTCCTTGCTCAAGGTCAGGAACACAAATCATGGATTTTTTTTGTGTGTGTGTGTGTGTTTTAACATACTTATAAGTCTAAGGACAAATTTACGATGTCGAATCCTCCCAGAACAAATGCTACTTTCTCACCTCTGAGCCTCTGGTGATTTACTTCAACTGTCTTGTAACTCAGAGGTCAAAGAATCAAGGAAATTGAGGACTCCCTCTTCACCTTTGAAATTAAAATCTACAAAGAAATTTTCAAGGTGATAAAAGACATAAAACCTTATCGGTGTATAAATGACAGGACAAAGAATATGTTATAATACTCTTAATAATAGGAAAAGCTGTCATTGTGGAGGCAGCCACTTTATTTAAAGTCCTCACTCCTGACCCTTTGATTACAGGAAGGAAAGTTAAGGTGAACTGCAAGCTAGGTTGGGGGTGGGGGGCAATATGAGAGCCCTGGGGATACTCTTAACTCCTATGAACTAGAACAGTGGGCTTGACCGTGGTCCATCCATACGTGCATATAGCATAATGTGGTCACCACTATTCCTCAGTGCCTCCCCTTGCCCTCTCCTCTACCCTCCCCTAGCTCCTCTTCCTCTACACATGGTTTTTTCCTTCTACTATCATGATATCCCCTTTTCTCTTTTTCCCCCTCTAGCTTCCACGTATAAGAGAAAATCATGATACTTTTCTGTGTCTGACAATATTTAGATTAACATGCTGTTCCCCAGTTCCATCCGTTCCCCTGCAAATAACACAATTTCATTTTTCTTTATGGCAGAATAGAGAGAGAGAGAGAGAGAACCACATTCCCTTCATCCATTCATCTGTCAATGCATATCTAAGCTGATTTCATAACCTGGCTATGTTGCATTGTGCTGTGATAAACAGAGGTATGCAGGTGTCTCTGAAGTAGGCTGACTTTGGTTCTTCTGGGTAGACACCAAGAAGGGAAGTAGTTGGATCATATGGTGGTTTAATTTTTAGTTTTTTGAGAAACCTCTTGTTTTAGTCAGCTTTTTTACTGCTGTGACTTAAGGACCCAACCAGAACAATTGTAGAAGAGGAAAAGTTTTATTTGGAGTCTTACAGTTTCAGAGGTCTCAATCCATACACAGCCAGGTCCATTTCTCAGGGCTCAAGGTGAGGCAGAACATCATGGATGAAGAGTTGGCAAAGAGAAACAGCTCACATGGTGATAGGAAGGCAGAAAGAGAGAGAGTCTCCACTTTCCAGATACAAAATATATACCCCATAGCTATGCCCCCAAAGAACCACTTCCTCCAGCCACACCCCACCTGCCTCCAGTCACCACCCACTTAATCCCATCAGGGATTAATCCATTGATTAGATGAAGGCTGTAACCCCATCATCTCTCCTCCAAACCTTCTTGAATTGTCTCACATGTGAGCTTTTGGAGGACACCTCACATCCAAACCATAACACCTCCATACTGATTCTTTAGAATAATTTTATATTACACCATCAAGTTTGAAAAAAAAAATAGATCAGAAAGGCATGACCATCAAGTGCCCAAAGGAGTAATTGTCCACCACAGGTGCAGCTCAACACATGCCTGCAGAGCATCTCTCCAGCAGACTGGGAGGCCGCTCAGACTACTGGCTTTAGCTGTGGCATGACCTGAGCAAAGCCATGTTGGCAAAGGCTGCTGTGTTGCAGAAACAGAAGATAAAGAGGTCAGGATGCAGGCTAGTTTGCATCAGGCGCCTGCCATTCAGTTGCCACCCACTCTAACTGATCTGTGCCTTTCCAGTTCTCTGATTCCACCCCCCTCCCCCTCAGAACCCATTTCTGGCAGTGCAGCCAAATCTGAAGGGAAGCAGAGAGTAGAGAGCGGTTTCCCTTATATCCCAGATGTCATGTCCACAGAAGTACAGATGCCAGGAAGAAGTTCCCTGCTATTGATGAAGGGACAGGTGATTAGTACAGGCAACAACCAGGAGAAAATGGCTCAAAAACAGGAAGGCAGGTTGTTTTAGGGAAAAGGGAAACTTGAAGAGATGGCAGAGAAAAGGTGGACAGGCATTTGTAGTGAATGGAAATCTTGTTTCTCAAACAGAATGGCCGTGATTAGTCTGAAGTCTCCTGGGCTCCCTGCTAAGGGTGGGAGATTCCTGGAAGATTCCAGAAGCCCAAGGGTCAGAATTGTGGGGGATCAGAGGGAGCAAACCTCCATTTTGTACCTAGAGTTTTGGGTGAGGCCTGAAGCGTCCAAGAGGAAGACCCTGAATGCCCCTCAAAAGACAGCATGCAAACAAGCTAAAGATGAGAACTGTAGTTGTTCAATTGGGATGAATTTTGACTTCCTGATAAAATGCAGGCAAATGACAGCTGGAGGGGAATTGTTTGTTTCTACATTCAGCATCCAAACAACTCCCCGTTTGTGTGGGTTCTGTGGCTGCAGGACCCCATTCCTCACTACTGGAGACAAGAATCCACTTCTGCCCTCTAGAGACTGGGGTGTGAGCATCCATCCACTGGGCAATTTGATGCTTCTGCTCAGGACTTTGCCAGGAGAGATTCCGTTGCAGAACGAGTCAAGACGTGATTTATAGCAGGGCTGCACTAGGGTTAAAGTGCCCACTCTGCTCTGGGTGGGAACCTGACTTCTGCCTAGCCATTTTCCAAGTCTGTGTTTTCACTTCTACTGAATCTATGAGCTACTCATATACTGTTCAATAAATTCCTTTGTTGCCTACGTTTATGAAATTTAGAGAAAAGCAGAGGACAAAAACAGACCCGTGACAAATTCCTCTGGGTCTCAAAGAGATGAAAACACAGAAACTAGAAATCTCATCTAAAGAACAAAGAGCCAGAGGATGGTGGAGATGAGGGCTCAGGAGTGAACCAGACCATGGAAATTAAGAAAGAACTCAGCGAAGAAAGAGAGTAACTGGTATTCTGGGACTGACATCTCTTTCTCCATCTCCCCCCATTACCTTGGTCATATTTCTATCTTGGGAAGTAGCACCCTACCTGAGTCATTGAGTACCAAATGTTCCCCAAGGTGTTCTGGACCCTATCAAGGCAGGTCTTTGCTAGTCAATTAAATTTAGGATTCTGCTGGAGGCCACTTAGGGCCCTGTATAGAGAGGATGTCACTGCCCCATTTTCAACACTAAGCATTCAGAATCTATTATAAAGATGAACATTGCATTGAAGTTACAATGTATAGTTTATTAATGAAGAATATGCATAAAGGTCATCTTGAGATCTGCAAATGGTATTTCAATATCAGGGGAGAAATAAAAAGAGATATACATAAAGTGGGGAGAGCATGGAAGGGCCGTGTTGGGAAGGAGAAGAGGGAGCAGGAGGGTGTGGAGGGATGGCTACAGAGGAGTGGGATGTGGGGAGGGAAGCTCTTAGTTTTTCACTCCTCATTACATTAGCAGCAGGTGGTTGCCAGAGGGAGCTGGTTCATGCAATCTTCCCATTAACTCATGAGACTGATATCGTCCCTATTTTACATGAAAAAAATAAGACTGAGATGAATGTGTCCAGCTAGTAGAAGGCTAAATTGTAATGCAAAACTACATCTTCCCTTCTCCAAAACCCAAGTTCTTTTCATCAACCCGTGATATTTTTTTAACCTGTTAAGAGTCCTATATTAGCACATATTGACATTAATCTATTATTTAGTAAACATCATCATTTTTCCCTATCAATATGTATTCTGTGTTCTATTCTTCTCTGAGTTAAACCGGGTGTGTTCCCCCCAAAAAATCCACATGGTAAAAATTATATTACCACACCAATGAAAGGAGAAGTTTCCACTTTCAGCTACAAATGACTAGGAGAGGTCAAAGCTGAGTGCTGGGTTTCACTAAAACTTTTTCCAACCAGGTGAATTTGAACAACAGCCATGAACATACAGTAAGTGGACATCCCATGCTGAGAAAGGACACAATACCTTGACTCACACCTGGTACGTGACAATGTCACTGGATCAAACGAGTGACTACCTTCTGACCAATGAAATGATTTGACCAACTATTCATAAGTTATGAATTCATTTATCTTCCATCCAGAAGGAGTTTTAAATCATTACTTAGTATAACCAGTTTGAAGCCTTCTTCCTGGTGGATAAATTCCTTGTCACTTCCAGTTAACTAAACAGTGAATTTCATTCACGAGGTACATTCACTGGCAAACAAGCAAGTTAACTCAGTATTGTGAGCTTTTTTAAAAATTCTGGAGAGTTTTGTTTTGTTCTGGGATGTATCTGAACCTCTCCCTTTCTTGACTAAAGGGTTGGGCTTCCAAAATCTTTTGTCCTTATCAACTTTCAGGAACAGGTAAGACTCTTGAATCCCTAACACCATGATCCCGAGTGCATGTGTCCCAGGCAATTCAAGAGGTAGCTGAGATATGAGTCTCTAAGACCCTGGCTTCGCTCAGGCCAGAATTTTGCTGACTCCAACTCTCTCAGAGTAAAACTGATGCTTTGAAAGTGATGATCTCTAAAGAGATTGTAGGAAATAACTTTTCCTACACTTACCTATCACAGAAACAAGAGAACTCTACCATCTGTGCGAGAAAAAAAAATTAGACTATGGGCCACAAATTGTTTTAATGATGAGATAATGTTCTAGAAGGGAACCAGCACCTGCCCAACATCCTTGCTGATTATCATAATGTAGAACACCTGCTAGAGCCTGGCAGCCATTCCAGCCCAAGTTTTAGTTGTCATTGTTGTTTTTTTTTTTTTTTTTTTTTTTTTTTTTACAAGACTGCTTCTCTGATGTTTTGTTTTTATCATTTCCACATTTCCCAAATAATCAAGCCATACTGTCTTTAGAAAGCAAGATTACACACTAGGACTGGGTGTTCATTACTGAAGCAAACATTTTCCCAGAACCTATGTCAGGCACGGGGTAGGCTGAGAGGTTAAAATCTAAATAAGGCATAAAGGTTACTGCCCTCCAGGAGATCAGGAGATCTTAGGAGTAGAAGTCAAAATAAGACTGTCCACAATATAGGCAAATCCTGTAGCAACTAACACTGACACCTGGATAAGTTTAGTAAAATAACTGGTCATCTGGTTAAGTCTCGAGGAACAAGTGAAATTTGGCCAGATGGAGCACACACAGGGAGGCAGTCATCCAGTGCACTGAGATGGAAATGTGTGCAGATGGTCAAGCTGTTTTGAGTAAGTAAAAGTGGCTTGTATGTAGGATAGGAATGAAGTCAGCCTTTATAGGGCCAAATAAGCCAAGATAGAGCTAGGACCTGATTCTCTAGACAGTGGGAAGCAAACCAAAATTGACAAGTAATCTGTGGGCACTTCTGCTTCCCATCAGTATCAGGGGACAGACATCAGATTTACCCTGTGAACTTCAACAACTCAAAAACTGTGCAAAGCATGTCATCCAATGGTCACAGCCACTGGACCACAACCCTTGAAGGACACTCATTCCTGGGAGAAGGGAAACAAATGAGGTGAGCCCCACAACTTCCCCAGCTTGTTTTCTGAAGGTGATTTCTTGCAGAGTTGAGGACACAGAATTGAGGATTCAAGGAGACTGAGGTGTCTGTACTTCCTAGGACAGATGCTGGGGAGGAAAGTACTTGTTATACATAGAGAGGGGAGAGTGAATAGAGGGAAGAATGAGACTAGAAGACCCTCACGTCTTCAGGTGAAATCCAATCAATGCAGGTATGTGAGAAAACTACTCTAGCCAGGAAAAGAACCAAGCAATGGAAAATCAGAGGAAAAATGAGCAGATTTCACACAGGACCAGGAAGAATTTGGATTCTTGCCAGCCAGAGAAGATAAACATAGTGATTCACACTTGGTATTCACATTCAGGTACTGAGGCTGGGCCTATCACCTCGGCTGTCGGGGAAATTACCCTTAAACTGAAAGCCTCTCTGTACCTAAAAACGCTTAAAAGCAAGTCTCAAAAATTTAAAGCATTTTTAAGTAACAAAACAACAGGATAAAACTTAGGAGCAACACACATTTTTACTCAGTATCAGTGGGAGGTTGGTTCCCAATATCCCATGTGTACCAAAAATCTCCAAGTTAATGGCGTAGTATTTCCATGAAACTTATGCACAGCTCCTGTATACTTTAAATCATCTCTAAATTGTTGATTATACCTAATACAATGTGAATATTTTATTGATAATTGTCATACAATATTGTTTAGGCAATAACAGAAGAAACACTCTGCATATGTGCGGTACAATTATTTTTTAAAGAATATTTTTGATCCTCAGTTGGTTATATCTGTGGATGTGGAATCCATGGATATAGTGTGTGTGTGTGTGTGTGTGTGTGTGTGTGTGTTTGTGTGCAAATATACAGACAATTTATGATGAGGTTCCATCATAGGAAAGCCATCGTGAATTAAAAATATCATAACTGAAAAACGCATTTAGCACACCTGACTTATCAAACATGTTAGCAACACAGTACACTGCAGAGTACCAGTTGTTACTCATGTTATTGCATGTCTGACTGGGATCTGTGTCTCCTGGGTGCTGCCTGGGAGATCATGAGGTCTCATATTACATATTACTGACCCAGGAAAAGTTCAAAATTTTAACTTCACAGAATGATTTCTACTGAATACAAATTTCTTTCATACCTTATAAGTTGAAAGATCTCAAGTTAAGCCACTGTATGTCAAGGACACACATATGTGCACACACAAGCACCTATACCCACAAATACTATATTCAACAAGGTAAAATTCACAATGTCTAGTACTCAATAAAACATTTCTAGGCATACAAAGCAGCATGAAAAGACAATCCAACATCAGATGAAAGTATATTGAGAGAAATAGACCCAAAATAGCAGACAAGGATGTGAGAGTCCTTCTATAATTTTATTCCATATATTCAGAAATGCAGAGGAAAATAAGTGCACATGGAGAAGACATAAAAGTGACTCAGATCAAATTCCAGATATGAAAAACTCCATGTCTGAGACAATAAACCAGATGGAATTAACTATAGTCACAGAAGAAGGAAAAATTAGAAAACTTGAAGACATGGTAATAGAAACTGTCCAAAATGAAACACAGAAAGATAAAGAAGCCTGAAAAACATATGTAAAGCACCAATGAACTGTGAGACAACTTCAAAATGCTAATAGAAGTAAAACTGAAGCCCTCGAAAAAGAGAAGAGATAGAAAGGGACACAGAAAAAAAAATTTGAAGAAATAATAGATGAAACATCTCCCAGATTGATGGGAACTATATGCTAAATAAACTCCAAGCACAAAATGCATAAAGCAAGTTATGGTAAGGCACAGCATAATCAAACTGCCCATAATGAATAATAAAGAGAAAAATCTTAAAACCAGCTAGGTACTAAAAGGTCACATGGGTAGATGAACAAAGAACGATGGCAGATTTCTCCTGAGGAACAATGGAGGTGGAAGACTATGGACTAACATTTTTAAAATACTCAAGGAACAACTGTTAACATAAAATTCTATACTCACTTTTCACAAATGAAGGCAAAGAAAGGACTATTTTGACACGTCAATGCTGAATTCATCATCAGACTTCCTATGAAAAAATGCTGAAGGAATTCCTTTAACAAGAAAAATTATATGACATGGAAATCTAGATCCATCCAAAGGAATGCTGGGCAGTGGAAATGGAAAATATGTAAGCAAAATATAGTACTAGTTTTGCTAATTTTAAGAACATTTTTGGGGCTGGGGATGTGGCTCAATCGGTAGTGCACTCGCCTGGCATGCGTGCAGCCTGGGTTCGAACCTCAGCACCACATACAAACAAAGATGTTGTGTCCGCCAAGAACTAAAAAATAAAAAAAAAAATATATTAAAAATTCTCTCTCTCTCCTCTCTCTCTCTCTCTCTCTCTCTCTCTCTCAAAAAAAAAAAAATTTATAAGACAATTGACCATGAAAACCAAAATAATAATGTATTGTGGGGTTTTTATAACATGGGTAGAAGGAAAATGTATGACAACAATAGCACAAAGGACAGGAAGGAAGACAGAAGTCCCCTGTGTTCAGGTTGCTGTGTTTAGTGAGGTGGCATGATGTCACTTGCAAGTAGCTTGTTGAGTTAAACATATCCTGCAGGTCCCAAAGCAGTCACTTAAAAGAAGAACAGTGATGGGCTGGGGTTGTGCTCAGTGGCACAGTGCTTTCCTGGCATGTGTGAGGCACTGGGTTCGATTCTTATACACATAAAAATAAATAAATAAAATAAAGGTATTAAAGAACAGTGATGTCGTGAAACAATGGTATAGTAACAAGCTAACAAATGAAATTAAAATACACAGCTTCTCAAATATAAGGCAGAAAAAGAAGAATCAAGAACAGATGACACAAATTGGAAACAAATTGCCAGATGCTAAATTTAAACCCAATTATATCAATAACTTCATTCTATATAAATATTTTAAACACTCTAATGGAAAGGCAGAGGGTCAGACAGGATAAACAGGAAGAACAGCTATACAGTGCCTACACGAAGGCCACCTTCCATATGAGGTTGTTTGTGTCCATTACTAAAGACTGAGCCAGCCCTAACAGGCTCTCAACCTGGCTCAGCCTCCAAAAAGCTATGGCCTCCAGTGACTGTGAACTTTTCCAGAGAGTAATGACAAGGACTCTAACATGGTACATGTTATTCCTGGTTACTGGATTCTTCACTTCTCAAAATACCTAATAAATATTTCCAGGAACGATCCCAACTTATTAGGCTTATCAAATACTTGTTGTGCCTAAGACAGTGAGTGACCAGAAACTGAAATATGTGCTACAAACATGATAAAGAAAAAAAAAGATCCATATTCGGAGTTCATTCATGAGTTCACTCATGATAACTAACCCTGATAACCTACCCACTATGCCTCATATGTGGAACGCATAGGTATATATGGTGGTGAAAMAAACTAGTATAGTTTTTGTACCCAAGAAACTTAAAAATAGAGGAGACAGACTGTAAACAAAAATATGATCCCGTGTCGTCTGAAGTGGTGTAAGGGAAACAGAGAATATTAGGAGGCAGGAGTGCAGCAAAGCATGTGGCCAAGGGAGTCCTCCCTGGGGACTGTGAACTAGCCACCAGAGAACAAGGAGGTCTCCAAGTCAGCAAGGGCACATGTGAAGGCTGAGAGACAGAAAAATCCTGATGTGTTTCAGGGACTTGAAGAACAAGATTGGCTGCCCCAGATGAAGTAGAAGAGGCTGGGTCATGCAGGGCCACAGGAAGAAGTTTTGATTTTCCTCTAAGGACAATGGAAACTCATTACAGCATATAAATAGAAGAGGACACATGTGACTTAATTTGCATTTTTAAGACACTCTTTCTTGCAAGTCCGTGGAGAATGGAGCACAGCAGGGTAGGAGTAGACAGGGAAATGGGAATATTCAGACAGTTGATGCATAGGCTATGAGGGAGAGCTAGGAACCAAGGCGGTTCCAACTGGGTGGAAGATGATAGGAAGATGAGAGGGGCTGTTGATTTGGGCATGGGTCTCAGGAGTGCTGACTGAGAATCAGACTAGGATTGAAAGTTTGAGAGACATCCCTGCTTGTCCTTGCTCATGAGCTCAAGTCACAGATAAAGAACTGTGCCTGGGGCAGTAGCTCTAAGATTTCAGATCAGAAGTTATATCCCTAAGCAGAAGATAGGTCTTTAATAATGTTCAGTGCATCTAATTTCAAATATGGCTCCCCTCCTGTCCTTTACTCTTGACTCCCTCTCCTGAGGACTGCTATGAATGACCGCCTACCTGACAAAACCCCATCCAGGTTAAATCACAAATTCCCCTGCACTAAGTTAATAACACATGCAGCAGCCCAGCTTGTAAGATAGACAATCAGAAGCCTTTTGCAAAAGGAAGACCAGCTCGAGTAGCCTATCCAGTTCTATTGCTTTCTTCCAACCAACTAAACAACAGGTTTGGCAGGATGAATTAGTTCCCAGGTAATCAATCTAGTCTGTCATAGTTTAGTGTCTGTGCCTCACTGAACTCAGCCTCATGTCACCACACTCTCCTCCATGCAAAGGAGGGTACTCCCAGCTTCTAACCCACATTGGCAATCTTGGCCTTGATCGACCTCAGCAGAGGAGATATTTAAAAACAAGGTTAGGTCATCTTCCACTGAAAGACCTGGAATAGTCACCATGCTTTGTGAATGTAAGTCTGGTTCTCCAAAAAGGCAGAGGAACTTGCTAGCCAAGACTTGCTCCTACTTTTTACACTCTATTCACCAGATCAGGAGGGTACCTGTGTCATGCGACACCAAGAAGGCTTCACGGCTAAAGATGGAGCAGAATATGGGGACCAGGCCTCGGGAGAAGACAGAGCCCTCCTCCCACCTACTGAGCTCTCCTGACAAAGCAGGTCCTGTTGGGAACCCCCAGCCCCAGCCAGGCCACCAGCAGAGATGGTGCAGCCCCAGGACACTGAAGGAGCAAGGACCTTGTCAGAGGCACTTCCTGCCCCTATGTGAAGCTGTCCTGCTGGTTGTTGGTTTCTGACCTCTGTTCCAGACCCCGCCTTGATGACATGGAGGAGTGTGGCTCACCCATTGTGCAACCTGTTTCTGTAAAAAGAACAACTTTATGGTTGGGCTTGAGATAAAACAAACAAGCAAACAAACAACAACAAACCCAACCTAGATCAATAACCTGCTGGAAGAGAGGGGGAGAAGCTTATATGAGAAAAACAATTAGCAGCTTTCTTGCCAACTTTCCATTTCAGTTTTTAAAAATGTAGATATTTAAATTACAAGGTTTATGTTTTCTCCCCACACGTGGTGAACCCTTGAATTATAGTGCTGTCATTCGGTAAATTCTGAAGACTCTGAAATAATATAGAACTGTTTTCATAGACCTTTTGGGGGAGCAATGCTTGCAGTCACACATGGAATAAAATTGCAACCACAAGCACATAAAGACAAAGCAAAAATAGTGGTACAAACACTAAGATAAAATGTGTGCAATGGTAAATAACTGATGCTTTGAGGACAAATGGCACTTTTTCCATTTCTAATCATTTTGCATTTACCACTATTTTTCTAACACATTTGCATTCCTATTATTGTCTTACTTTTAAAACAAATTGAGTATTAATTCCTCTGCTTGCCTCTCCACACCCCATTAAAGGAATAGACATAATTTAAGTCTTTATTCAAAAACTACTGTCAACATAAGGTTAGTAATTCCCCTACATATAAAATACAGTAATTCAATTTAATTTTGTGAATTAAATTTGACCAAATCTAAAAGAACTGAACTTGTGCTCAGAACATGGGGATCATATTTTTGACATTTTGTTTAGAGATAAATATAGATTCATATCTATAGAAATAATAATAACAGTAAGAAATAAAACAGAGAGATCCCATATACCCTTTTCTCAGCTTTCCCCAGGGTAACATCTAGAGTGACTCCAGGACATTATCACCTAGGAAACCACAGGCCGCTCTCAGGTGCATGCAGGTGTATTTAATTCTATCCAACTTTGTCCTCCCTGTGGGCTTGTGGAGACTCCACCACATCAAGGTTCACCTCCTTCCCTGCTCCCTAACTCCTGGCAACAGGTACCAACTGCTGGTCGATGGACAGTTATCAATCCCTTATGGGCAAGTCAGTATGTCCAGCCCCGTGATCCAGCTAAGCAAATAAAGAGTGTATCCAGTGGTTAGAGGGCAGGCTGGAGGCTGAATACCTGGGTTCAAAAGTATTTCAGTTCTCTCTGCCACAGAGTCTCCTTTAATAAAAAAAGGGCCAATAGTAGAACTTTAAAGAGAAGTTATGAGAATCCAACAAATATATACGTATATAGGAAGTAGAAATGCCTGGCATGCAGACCTGGATATTGCCATGCATGAACTCAATACACAACATGCAGAATCCTCATGTTCTCTTTCCTGGGACACCGATGTCAGCTGTCCACAGCTGGAATTAACTGCTCCCTCCCACGGCACTGGGTTGAGAGAACATTTGAAGTAGGAGTAAGACTTTGACAGAATTTGACCGAAATAGAAGAGAAGGAAAGATGCTTGAGGCTGGTGAAACAAGGTGATCTGGGTGGGAGAAGACACAGGCCAGAGGACTCAGAGTTCAGAACATCAGGCTGTGTGGCTGCTGGAGGCTGGGGCCAGATTTTGAGGGGAACTCAGTGAGTGCCATACTGCAATTAGCGCCTCAGTCCTGGAGAAGACCAGGAGAATGGACAGAAGAAAGCGCCCCTGAAACAGTCCCTGGGGAGGAGCGGTTGGAACCCAAGTGAAAGCACTTTTTCAAGTACCAAACCAAGAGACCACGGGATTTTCTGTAAACCACAGCAGCTGCCCTGACGTGTTCCCTGCGGCCCCCATTCTTAGAGGCATCCAGTCTTGACTGTGTGGGGCGAGGGCAGTAAAAGTCATTACACTGATTCACGCCAGAACCTGTCCTCGCCCTGCCAGGGCAGTTTCCACTCTAGCCAGGTGTTCTCCATTCCCCACCCCCAGCGACTTCAAACTGTCCTTTCCTGAGGTTTCCAAAGGCAGGCCCTGGAGCCTGTCCCAGAGTCCCCATTGGCACTGGGGTCCACAGTGCCTGTCTGATCCTCTGGCCATTTGCCTCCTGCAGGTACAGCCAGTCTTGATCTCTGAGCGCTTGCTCATCTCATGTACTTTCTCTCCCTCCCTTGGAATTGACTTCTCTTCCGGGTCACTTCCTGGGCCCTTGCCTCCCAGATGTGCTGTGACTCTGATCTCCATGGCCAGAGCCTGTCTATTCCTCCCTTTCACAATATATTCTTGCCTCTCTGCTCCCAGGTCTCCCAGTGACCTGTTGCTGCCTAAATTGGGTGTGTCTCACAGAATAAGAACAAATCACTTTGTGCTTCTGCTTTGAAAAATGTTCCCCATCAGGTACCTTTTTCAGAAACAGAGAGGAAGGACAAGAGCCCTTAACCTAAGTATATGGCTAACAGGCTGAAAAAAAAAATAACTATTTGGTGACAGCAAGACAGGTCTCATTGTGCTCCGTCATTCTCATATCCATGGAAAGAAAAGGATGCTGGGAGAAATGGCTCTTGCTAAGTGGGTACTAGTGGCTTATGGTTTGGCTCTGATAACTAAGAAACCAAAAAATAAATAAATAAATAAAATAAAATAAAATAGGCTTGCCTTTTCTCTAAATGAAATCAAGTATTATCAACTAATACTTGATCACAAAGATGAAAGGTAGTCAAGAGGACTTAGAAGCAAATCCCCTCAAGGATGCCATAACAATACCTGTGCTGTTTGCATATGATAGGGCAGACTTTCTCCTGGAAGAGGGTTTTAACTTCCATGACAAACCTCCCTCCCTCACAGTTGTTGTGTGCAAATTATGCCTTCAGGGCACATGTCAGCCACACAATACCTCCCCAACAAAGCACATTAAGATAGTCTCCCACTCACGGCATCTTAATGGCTACTTCATCTGTAGACATTACATCAAATTCTTCACTTAAATAAATACCCAACTATATTATTTGGGGGAAAAACAAGTCATACATTAAGAAGCCAAGAAGACCAAGACTGAGAAAGCAAGCAAGAAAGCTGAAACTTTTCTTCGTCCAAGCCCCACAAATTCAATATGTGTTTGGAAAATGCCAATATTTTCAAACTCCTTCAGTCCCTGTACATAGCCTTTTGCACTACCTGACCCTGTCTCATTCAAAGTTTGTATAAAGGGTCAGAGATCAAGACTGACTGCAGCTGCAGGAGGCAAATGGCCAGAGGATCAGACAGGCGCTGTGGACGGCCCAGTGCCAATGGCTGGGACAGGCTGCCAGAGCCTCCAGAGCCTCTGCCCAGGGCCTGCCTTTGGAAACCTCAGGAAAGGACAGTCAATGGTGATTTGAGCCTTTTCTTTTCTGATCTTTCCCCTGGCAGAGGGCAGCCAGGCAGCAAGAGAAAATACAACGTCAATGATGGCAGAGAAAGATGATTTATTTTGAATTTAATGTGACAGGACATTCTATTAAGAAATTAATTGTGTCCTGCTGCTCATCGCAGTGGACACCTTCATAAAGGTCATTACCTTCCCATAGAGTGCCCACCATCTGCTGCCCCCACTTGTATCCCCCAGATGATTGTAGTGGACTTTGTTTTTGAAGAGTCTCACAGTGACTCAAACTCTGATATGTATAAAATCACTGGAGGGACCGTTAAAATGGATGTCTCTGGGTCCCTCTGCAGACCTGCCAATTAAGATTTCTGGGGATGGGGACCTAGAAGCCGTACTTTAAATAAACTCCCTAAGAAATTGTGATTCAGGAGGTTTTAAGAATACTTTGAGAAAACATTAGGTCAAAAGAGACAGAAACCCCTGGGATACCTAGGTAGGGACACTGGGATCTGAGACTTCAGAGGAAAGGACCAGCCCATGGAAAGCTCTAGTCCCAACGCAGGGCTTTATCCAGGCAGTGAGGGGCCACGGTGGGGTTTTAGGTAGGACTGTGAGATGGTAAGCTGTGAGACTCACAGCTCAGGTGGCCACCTTCTCCAAGAAGCCTCCAGCCCAGTCCGCCTGGGTTTCCTGCTCCTCTGGGTTCCACATGAGCTCACACACACCTCTGACTCACCACTGACCACATGGTATTGGCAAGACCCATGGTGTTAGTGCTCTCATCTTCTTTCCACCAGAAAGCTTCTGGATACGAAAGTGACTTGTCCACGGTGCCCAGCATACAGTCGTTATCCTATAAGTGTTTAATCAAGGGAACTTTTGTGTTCCACTTAAAACCATGTCGCCACCAAGCCGTGCAGCTTCACGGAGCCGCTTTCTGGCTTGAATGGCCTAGAATCCCTCATTTCCCGCAGAGAAACTGGGCCCTGTATCTAAAGTCCACCTTAACCTTAGGATATCCGTCTTATGGAAGAAGTAGAAATGAAATGTCAGATGCCTGAAGTTTTGATCATACTGCTATGAAGTTAGTTTACATTTTTATGTTTCAGAAAAGAATAAAGATCTCACAACCCTCTGAGATGCAAAGGCTCGCAAAGCCACTGAAGACACAGGAAAATGTACCCATAGCTGATGGTAGCATGAAAGCACCTGGTGTCCAGAGTCTTTTGAAGCCTAAAAGCAAAACACCTGCCTTTTGGTCAGAACTCAACCTCCCCACCCACTACTCCAACCACCTGCTTCAATAGGTCCAGCCTTCCTCCCACTCCCACTCTTCTCACCCACCCACTCAGGCAGAAGGCAGAGGCAATAAGAATGTTACATTTTGATTTTTTCAATAAAGCGGATATGAAACATTCCACGAGCTAGGAATCATAAAGATTCTCCCCTGTGGGATCTCTGTCAAGAGAATTCCTTCTTTTCCAATAAAACTGAGGTAGCAACTGGGTGGAAATGTGACAAGGACGGAAGCTCTGAACATGAAGGGCCTTCACTGTGGGACTTTGGGGCTTGTTCATCCTGAGGCTCCGAGACAGCCTACTGACCAGGAAGGAGAGAAGGACAAGTAAAAGCATTTGAGGATCCCTAGATGGTTCTAGAAGTCATCCTCCACCGCCCGAAGGAAGGGTTCAGGAGGAAATCATAATCAAGTTCATTACCAAGTGTGCCTAGGGCGTGGGTGAGCCCAGCACCGCACCTCGTGCTTGGAGACCCCCAGTGGTTTTGCTGTCTTGCCCCCCTTCTCCCCGCCTGCCTCAGCTTAGGGCGGAGGGGAGGGGTCCAGACGCAGCACCTGGGCTCCTCAAGCCCCCTGGGCCTGCGGGGGAGGGGAGCAAGGGGCGCAGCGCTCCCAGCTCCCAGTCCCTGCAGCTGTCCTGCGGGCGCGGAGCCTCCGGGGTCGGCCTCGCCCTGGGGGTGGGGGTGAGGGGATGCACGCTCGAGCTGCAGGCCCCGCTCGTGCAAGCTCTGCACACCTGCCCGCCGGCGAGGCTTCATTAAGCCGCGCCTGTGCAGCCCCAGCCGGCGGCCGCGGCGCGGGAGTCCACGCCATGGAGCCCAGGGAGGATCCCTGCAGGGAACCGCTGGGTGAGCGCGCAAGGGGTTCGAGCTTGGGGGGGCTCTCTGAGACTCGGGGTCCTCTGGCCACTTCGCCCGCTTTAGACGACCTAAGAGCTTGGGTAGCTGGTGCGCTGTAGTGGGACAGGAGGTGACCGCAGACCTCCCTAACTAGGGGTTCAGATCTCCCACTGCACAGGTAACAAAACGCTGGGCTGGGCTGACGCCCGTCACTTTTCTTCCAGGGCAAATCACTCCAAGGAGACATGTAAGTGGTTTAGCGCTCCTGGGTTCAATCCCTGGTACCAAAAAAAAAAAAAAAAAAGAGAGAGAGAGAGAGAGAAAGATGAGAAAGAGTCATGTTTGTTGAGCACCTACTCTGTATCTGTACCAGGTTTATTGCTACACTACAGGCACTAGGAAAACGCCATTAAGCTAATTTGCACCTCCTTACCCACATCTCCATCCAACCTTGTCCCTTTAACCCCCGTGGCTGTGCACCCTCTATACCAACTTCAGACAGGCTCCTGCACTTCAGGCCTGTTGTGTGTCCCAGGAAACAACTTGATAAAGCACCTGAGCCAGAATTTACCCTCCTGCTTTGCATATTGTTAGAAAATTATTTCTTAAGACATTACAATGCATGATGCAATTCCATTCAAATAACAATGGCCTTTATCTAGTTAACATTTATTTACAAAATTTTGCAATTTCGTTGGAAATGATACAGCAGGTCCCTGGACCGTAGGTATGTGTAAGTCATGAGTAAGCCTGGTTATGAGTAAGTCCGGAAGTGAAGGGGAGTGTTGGGTGACCCTGGAGAGAACTTGTGCCCCCTATGCTATTTGATCTTACGCTAATTACTCAAGTTTCTAATCCTCATGTCTTCATATGGGAGAAGTGCCTTCCTCACAGGGGTTAAATGCACACTGTACCAAGCTTTGAAAGGTGCTAACTCAGCCTTATGCCTGGACCATGGTAAGCTCTGGATGAATCAGTCAGCTAGAAGAAAGGAAGGCAAGCTTAAAGGATTCCAAATGGGCTCCTTTTCCCTCACCTGTAAAGGGAGGGTTGGCCTGGGCAGAGGGGAGGAATATGGGAACACTGGGAGGAAGTGGAGGTGCATGGGGTTGAGGAGGGCTGGCAGGGAGAGTGGGTGCTAGGGAAGGGGAGGGTTCCTGCCTGTCCTTCCTGTTACCTCCTTTGACCTCCCTGCCTGAGCTCTGGAACCCGTCTTAACCTGCCTTGTCACTTCTGCTGGCAGTCACGTCTGGGTTCCAGTCTCAGGTGAAGCAGAATTCTAATCAATCTGTTTCTCTTCCTAGTCTGCCCTCAGCCCCACCGTAGTCCCTTAGAAATACCTGAACAGATGGCTGTCCCTCGAACTCCTGGTATCTGGAGGGGAAAAAAAATGGGGAAGAAGCATCCTAAATTAGGATTACTCTCCTAGCATGGGCTAAGGCCCTCTTAGAGCTATATATGTTTGTTTACATTTTCCAAAGCAGTTGGATTATCTAATCTTTGCAACCATCAAATTAAGAAGGGAAGTCTGGAATTAGGGCCTCATTTGATAGGTAGACAGATGAAAACTTAGGGTCCAACAACAGGTCCACTGTAGAGCAGAAAGCAGCATGTCCTTGGAGCCCAGACTCCTGTTTCTACCTGGGGCTGAGGTCAGTGGCTGCTGCTTCCCACAGGCCAGGAAGGTGGAGGCCAGTCCCTGACTGATGAACTGGAGGAGGAACCGAAGCAGGGGTCAGCCCCCCACACTCAGGACACCCTGAAAAAAGAGCTGCCACCCCCCTGTGCCATCTCAGGAGAGGAGCCGCCTCCAGAGCCCACTGGAGAACCGACTCGTGCTAATGCCAGGCGCGTGTGCCAGCCCTCCAGCTCCAGGGCTGTCCACAAAGACAGGCAGAACCCAGGCAGACCCCAGTCTCAGGGGCAAGGCTCTTCCCTCTTAGCACGACAGGCAAAGACAGTAAAGAGACCGGCTTCCCCAGGCCCTGGTAAACACAAAAAACCCAATGCCACGGATGTGGCCTCAACATCACTGCTCAGTGTTGCTAAGTCATCCTGTGCCACTCACAACCCTGTGCCTTGTGGGTCAGGCCGGGGCCCCTGCCACCTGGCCAACCTCCTCAGCACATTGACCCAGAACGGCCAAAACGCAGACCAGAAGAAGGGGCCCCCAGAAGTGAACTGCCAAGTTCGGAAAAAGACTCGAACCCTCTACCGTTCAGGTAAGCCGTTTGTGTATCACTTTGTCCTGGATCTCTCTTGACCCCACAGCAGTGCCTTTGGCCCCAAGGGGAAGGCTAGGTTGTCTCAGCAGAAAGCAAGCTTGGGACCAGGACGAAGGGTCAGGATAGCAAACCCCACACAGGTCTCAGCCATGACGCCCAAGAGAGAATGGCTGGCCCACTGGGGAACTTAGCTGCAAGGCTCTTGGGGCAGGGACAGTGGTCCTATCTGCTGGAGACACCTGGCAGGCACCTCTTCTTCTCTCTTGCCATGTCACTGTGATTGACTTCCTCCTGCCCATTTCTTCTTGTAGACCAGTTGGAAGAGCTAGAGCGAATGTTCCAAGAAGACCACTACCCTGATGGTGACAAGCGCCGGGAGATAGCCCAGACGGTGGGGGTCACTCCCCAGCGCATCATGGTAAAGGGGGCTGGTTAACCAGCAGGGGTAGGAGGTTGCTGAGAAGCTACCCATTTTAATTCCTGTGGGTTAGGGCACGTGCCTCAGAGTGCAGGGAGGCTGAAGTTGGGTCTCTGAGGTGGTGCCTCTCCGCGGGCTTCTAATAGTGCTGCTGCCATGTACTATCAGAAGAAGAAAGAGGTACATAGAGGCCTTGGTTGTTAAACCAAGTGGACAGGCAGGCTTCCGAAGCAAAGTGGTGACGGGACCTCCCACCCTTAGGTAGCCGTGCACCGTGTTGACTGATGTCTCTGCTGGCAGATGTCCCTGGACTCTAGTTTCTCCTCCCCCCCTTCCTCAAGTTCTCCAAGTATCTTTACCCCATAGGTGTGGTTCCAGAATCGCCGGGCAAAGTGGCGAAAAGTTGAGAAGTTGAATGGGAAAGAAAATGAGGACAATCCTGAAGCTCCTGCCAGCAGCCAGTGCAGGTGAGGAACCTTCTGGACCTTCCAGTAGGTAGAAGTGGAAGCCAAACTGGGATCCTGGGATCTTGAAGGGGCAAGCGTTGGAAGCTGGCTGTCAGGCCTGGGGTGGTTGCTAGAGTTTGTGACTGGCCAGTGTCTGGCAGGAGGCAGAGTTTATGGATTTGGTATCCCTCTGTGCTCTGAGATGCTTGTCTAAATCCAGAGACCACCAGAGCTTCATAGTCCCTTTTCTCTGCCTCCAGCTCTACCGAAGAGCCCCCACTTCCCACACCCATGGATGGGGAGTCTGGCCCCTTCCCTGCAGAGCCCACTCTGGATACCTTTCCAGGTGAGCTCCTACCTTCAGAGGGTTCACCTGCCCAAGAAAGGCCTTGGCCCTTCAGAGGGTCCTTGCCCAAGAAATGGGAATGGGACAAAGCTCTCCAGGGTTTGGGGCCAGAGGAGCCCATTCAGGGGACCCTGGGCTTCACACAGGTCTGTCATTCCACAGTCCCAGGTCTGCCTGGCTGTCTTCTTAAGTCCTTCCCTGACTTCTGTTCCTAGAGCCCCCTCTGCTGATGATGTCCGACCAGACTCTGGCACCCATCCAACAGAGCGAGGGTACTCAGAGGGTGGTGACCCCACCACTCTTCAGTCCCCCACCTGTTCGAAGAACCAACTTTCCTTTTCCCCTGGGCCCTGTGCACACCCCCCAGCTGATGTCTCTGCTGGCAGATGTCCCTGGTAGTGAGAGCAGTCCCACTGGATCCTGGGGGACAAGGTATGGGACCTAAGAGGGAGAGAGACCTGATTGATTATGGGAGGGATACAAAGGAGGAAAAGTCAGACCTTGAGAGGGGGGAAGGGCTGCGAGGAGCAAGGAATAGTACATGTGATGGGAATTAAAAGGGTACGTGAGAGCTGGGCTGTGGCCCAGTGCTACAGGCTCACCTGGCAGGTGTGAGGCCCTGGGTTGGATTCTCAGCACCTCATATAAATAAATAACTAAAATAAAGGTCCATCAACAACTAAAAAATATATATATATTTTCAAAAGTGGATTTGGAGTAGGAATGATCTAGGATATTGTTGCAATGAAACAGACAGAAAGAGGACAGGCAGAAGCACTGGGGGGGGGGGKGCGGGAAGCAGTGTGGGGTGCCCACAGAGCTGGGGGGAGGAAGTCAGAAGGTCTCGCCTACTGTGCGGCAAGAACCAGGCCACCTCTGGACCTCGCTGCACACTCCTCTGTCCCCCACAGCGTCTCCTCACCACCCATCTGCGCGTATCTGGAAGACCCAGAAGCCCAGGATTACCCACAGAGCAGCCAGCTGGGACCGGTCCAGTTCCCCCAGCCTCCACAGACTCAGCTTTTCCCGCCTCCCCAGCCCCAGTTTTCATACCTGCCTCCCTTCCCCTTCCCCATGCCCAGTTCACTGACCTTTCCACCACCGGAAGACCCCCTCTTTATGTTTCCTTGTGGTCCCAGTGGGGGCATGTCACAGGGCTACTACTCAGGCCCTCCATCGGGGCAGATTCTGCTGCAGCCACCCGCGGGAAATGTGGGTGAGTTGGGGCTGGGAAAGAAGATCCTTTGATGACTGAGGAAGGTGCAGAGGCTCAGACAGTCTCATTATCTGCAGGGTAGACGGAGGCAGGGCGTGCTTTTTACCTGTCCCAGCTCAGCTAGTTACAGGTCTCCTAAGTCTCAGTGTCCTGGACTTGGATGTGGGGACAAGAGTGCAGATCATTGAAGGACCTGGTGAGGATTAGAAATAATATGAGTAAAAGATACATGGCAGAGAGTAGATGGCAGCCTATGTCAGCATGTCACTAGTCCACCTGGACCTCAGAAGTCCCAGAAGCATCCACTCATTGAGAATTCTTGGGAAGGGGATTGAAAGACCCATCCAGGTGGCCCCACTGTCCTTGCTGGCTGCAAGAGACAGCACTTGGCCTGACCCAGGTCCACTCAGTGTCCATATTACCAAACCGATGAACCTGGAGCCCAGGAGCCTTCCTGGTCCTGTGGGGAGAGCTTGGTGCCAGTTTTTCCAAGACTTGCACTGGGGTCCTAAGCTGTGGTGCTGTGGATGGTAAAAGAAAATCCCTTCTAATAGGCACTGAATGATGTTTGATGCTCTTTGTCTGTCGAATCATTCCTATGTCTTTTGACCCTCCTCCCAGGTGCAGTGTCCTGGAGTGACCTCTGTTTGCCAGAACTGCCCTTCCCTGGTCCACTCTACCCACAGACACTGGGGCACCCCTCAGGAGCAGATGGCTATTTTCCTGATCTGTGTACAGCTCCTGGTGCTCAGGCAATGAGCAGGCAGCCTTCTCCAGGTCTTGACCCGCTGCCAGAAGGGGCCAGACCAGGAACTGGGCCCTTACTCAGCAAGGCACAAGAAAAGCAGCCTGTCTTCTCCCTGGAGCCGTCCACAGCATTGGAGGAGGTCAAAGAAGACAAGAATGGCTGTGCTTCCTAGTTGGAGTCGAAGAGTAGAAAGAGGGTCCTGGGCATGGGGGGACAGGATTGGGGTACCTGCACAGGGGGTGCTGATGGAAGGGCTGAGAAGGATTCTGGGCTGGGTGGGATCGGATGCCTCCCCGATGTGTGCTTATCTTGCTGGGCATTAGAGAAGGAAGAGGGTTGGACCTGCCCTTCCCCCACACCTCTATGATGGTCCTGAAGAAAGGGGAGCCCAGGTTACTTCTGAATGTTGTGTCAGTACGTTGTTTCCTTTCACTGCTGGACATTGAGCCTGAGGGCCGCTGTAAGCAGTAAACTAGTCTACCTTGTGTTCTCTGATTGTGGGTCCTCCCCCTCCACCTAGGAGGAGTTCCGTGGCCTACCACTGACTAGTTGTGAGATGTAATTGTTCGGGAGTCCCCACTGGACATGATCATGTATTGTTCCTGGCTCCCCTAAAGGAGAAATTGGGCATCTTGAGCTCTTCCTTCAGTCCTGCCATTAAATCACGTTCTATTCACAAACCTAGATCTAAACCTGAGTCTGGGTTTGTCCCTAAAACTTGGGTCCTGTAGAACTAGCATTGCAAGAGAAGTCCCAGGGTGTTCAAAGCCAAGTCTCCAGGGTTGCAAATTGTGACTCATTTCCCCAAAGCTCTTATCTGGGGGAGAGGATAAGAAGAAAGAATAAGGGATGAGGGGACCCCAAAAATTACACGAGTAAGAACTGCAAGCCCGTAGTCCTCTTCTGTGCAGGACAATGCCACAGCGGTGAAGGGTCCAGGGTCTTTTGTGTCTCCCCCCACCCCAGCTAGCAGAGACGCCAAAAGAAGCACCTGGAGAGATCTCCTAAAATGATCGCTACATCTCACTTAGCAGTTTTACCACTTCTGTTTATGGTTGCACCCCGGGGCTGGGAGCTAGTCTGGGGAGTTTTGGTGGTAGGTTGAGCTGAGGGAAGAGGAGGAGAGAGGCAGTTTGACCAATGATGAAACTGTCCTTGATGGCCAGACAGTGGGTCCAGGGCTCATGAAGAAATGGCAAAGAGCGAGGACGTGCCTGTGTGGGCCTTGCTCCTCCTGCTCCAATGCGTAGATGGGCTTTGTATCCACACTGAACCTGAATGGCTTCCTTCCATCTGCTAGTGGTCAGCCGAATCAGGCAAGGAAGGAGGAAATATTAATTAGAACCCATTGGCTCCAAGCTTGAGGTCCTGCTTCAGCACATTAAGGGCTAAAGGGAAGACTGAGAAGGAGGGTCATCAACCAATTTGAGAAGAGAAGGGATGGGGGTGTGGCACCCGGGAGAGGGATTGGAAAAGAGCCAGAAAGACGAATGGAGAGTAGAGACTGCAGGAGAAGTAACAGGGCACAGACCAGGGCACAGAAGAGGGAAAGAGCCATAGGGATTTCTCTCTCCTGAAATAAGGTCTAGCAGAAGAGAAAAGGGGGCACAGACCTGGAGAGTGAGAGCCCTTACAGCAAGCTCATGAGGGGAGCAAGACAAAGTGGGAGGATGGCGAGATGTCACCTGAAATAGGAAGTGAAGAGGAGCAGGGGAAGCTAATGGGACAGACAGGTGCACGTGACCAAGGAAAACCAGGAGGTAGTTCTAAAAGAAAGGAGATGAGCGACTGAGGGCCAGGGAGGCAGGGTTGAAAGGCCAGTGAGGAAGAGGAGTGAGAGATAGGAGAAGATGCAGTTGCAGAACCTGCCACGGGTTGCACAAATGCTCCTCAACTCCATTATCGTCCAAAGTCATTGTTTGCACCTTCCCACAGACTTTTTGTCTGTGGGTGGATTTGGGGGGGGGGGGCTGCATTTTTGACTGAATAAAGTCAAATCACATTGTCTGTACAGCAATCAGATAATTTAACATTCTTGGAAACCTAACTACATAACAAAGAAGATGAGTTTGGTGTGGCTTGTAATTTTGGAACACCAATTGTTGTTTGTAATTATTTGTTATTTTTGGTACTGGAGATTAAACCCAGGGGAACTTTGCACTGTACACTTTGCACTGTAATATTTAAAATTTAAATATTACAAAGGGCTGGATAGGCAGCCCTTTGTAATATTTAAATTTTATGCAGAGACAGGGTCTCGCTAAAGTGCTGAGGGGTCTTGCTAAGTTGCTGAGGCTGCCCACAAATCTGCAATCCTCTTGCCTCAGCCTCCCAAGTAAGTGGGATTACAGGTGTGCACCACTGTGCCTGGTGTTTATTAACCGTAAACCATATTATCAAAATGCCGATAAACCGTCTCTTAACAATCTATTACAGAAGCCTGTAGGAATTTCACATTAAAGTTCTTTTCCTTTGGTTTCTAAAAACCGTCTCTTTGAAAATCAAGATATTTGCCTCTATGAAGGCTCAGATCACCTTTCCTGTTCTCACTGAACAAAATATAGAATTATTTAAGCACTTGTGAGACTCTGGTTTGGGTCCTAAGTCTACCTTACGTTTTTATGCCCAACTCTTAATTTCCATACTATTTCCTTTCTTTGAGCATAGAGGCTGAACCAAGAACTAAGTGCTTTTGCTTTCTCTGTGTTATATGGATATTATTATGTCTGCCTCAGGGAGTAGATTTATCTTCCCCTTGTTCTTTCCTGTCCCCAATTTGGTTTTATATTACCATTATTGACTGTTTGAGTACATTTCATGTTGTTACAACAGAATACCGATAGACTGAGTAGCTTATAATGAACAGAAATGTATTTGATCATGGTTCTGGAAACCGGGGAGTCTAAAATATGTTTGCTTGTGGTTTGGGAAGCAAGGTCCAGGCACTACATCTGGCGAGGGCTTCCTTGATATGTTACTGGGTGACAGAGGCATCACATGGCATCTGCCAAAGAGCAAGAGAGGACTGAACTCACCTCTTAACAGCCCACTTCCATGCAGATGACATTAATCCATTCACGAGGGCAGAGTCCTCGTGGCTGAACCTTCTCTCACAAGGTCCAGCAATTTCTGCAGCTTGAGGGTCCTGCTCCTGTGTGACTCCACTGGAACCTCTGGGAAAACCCATCTGCTCCTGCCTCCCCCACCTTACACTTGCCGTCTTCATCTTCTGACAGTACAACCATGGGACGCTGCTGTTGGTCACAGTAGAATCTTTCTTTGCAAATCTCGGAATAAGAAAAAGAAAATCGGTTTACTCCAAATTTTTTCCTTGCCAATCTCCATCATTCCACTAGATGGCAATCTACCACCACTTGATTTTTGACCTAAAATGTTTACAGTGAGAAAGACAGTGGGAATTCTTTCCGGAAAATGCCCCAGAGCCCCATCCTGTCAACAGACACCAGTTTAAAGTTATTAAAGTTATTTGGGGTGTAGCTTGGTTTTCCAGATAAAACATAGTATGTTCAGTTAAACTGGAATTTGGGGTAAAGAGTAAATAATTTGTTAGCCTCAGCATTTTTCTGCAGTATGTGGGCGTCTTATATTTTTGCTTGCTGAATCTGGCTACTGCAGTTGTCACATTTTGCTAGGGACATCTGCACCCATGACAGCTTCAAAATCACCCTGGAGTGGGATGCTGCCTACCCAGCTTTCTCGCAGGTGAGGCTTCTGAGCAGACCTGGGTTCAGTGCTGGCACTTAGAACCCACATGGTCTCCCAGCCTCACTCCCAGCATCAGAATTCTTCAATCAAGCTTCATGCTCATCTTTACTTAAAAAAAAAAAAAAAAAGTGTTTTATTCTAAAGCAGGTTTGCTTTCTATTTTCTGTTCCTATTGGCTGAATATTTTATATTATAGTTACAAAATTTTATGAGACAACCCATTAGAATTTATTTTTAAATGTCCATTTAAACACCACTTACCTAAATGGAACACAGAATGGAAACAGGCTTTAATTTGGCTTTTGTTGAGTGAGTTCCAAGTCTTAAATGGTCTTGATTATTTAAGAGTAAATCTATCTAATTTTCTGGAAATGAAGCATCTCCTTCCTTCACCCAGAAGAGGTATTATTTGAGTCCAGAGCTTCAGGAGATTTAGGGTTGTTATATTTGTAGTTTAAGTTCATACTGTTCTTTTATAAAGACCTTCTCATTTGAATTTCATAACAAAGCTCTGAGAAATAAAGGCAGACATATTTTCCCATCACTCAGGGGACATTTCCAGACACTGTCGGTACTGGGCAAACACAAAGATAAAATATCTTCCCAGTTTTCTGGGAACTGCCAGTCTCATTGGACACCAGTTACAATACAGGGGTCAGTACAGGGCCAACGTTGGTCAGGGGAGACTAGGGAGGGAGCCTGGGAGAGGCCCTAAAGACCAGGCCATGGTGCTGGGGCTCTGTTGTTCAGGTGAACACAGGACTGGCTGCTTTAACACGGAGGAGGGGAGAACGAAGCAGAAGAAAAGGTGGCATGGAGACTGGCAGGGGGTGGTTTGGGGGTAGAAGTGGAAAGAGCTGGAAGAGGCATTAGCTGGGGAAACATTCAGAAGCCCGACTGGGACTGTGAGCCCTGGAGGGGAGTTGGACAAGTAAGTGGGCAGACAGAACCATCCAGTCTACAAAGGAAAAAACTGAGGTTTCAATGATTTCCTAAAAAATGCCTTCACCAAAACTAGACAGAGTCTTTGAATTTATTTTATTCTCCAAATGCACTTGGGGGAGTCTTGCTTTGCAATGCTAGCATCCCATTTAAAAAAAAAAAAAAAAAAAAAAACCCGAAAGATCCTTAACAGGTAAAAAGCTATGAATGTTAGATAATTTCCCGAGCTTTTATGTTTAAAAGGCTGAAAGGGCTTCTTCTAAGGACCCAGAAATTGGTCCTGAGACAAAATATTAATAATGATGATAAACATTTATTTAGCTTTTATTGAATAGCTAGTGCTTTGCTGGGTAATTTTCTTTCAAAACAACCTCATTAAGTTTTATGCATTTTATAGGTAAATATCTGAGATTCAGAGAGATTTAAATATTTGCTCAAAGTAGGAAAAGGCATAAGTTTGGAATAGAATTTAAACCCATCCTGGCCAGGTGTAGTGGCACACAC